TCACTTTGTGCAGGATGTCCAAATTCCCTTTCAAATGTTAAGAGCTAGGTGTGGGATGGCAGAGAATTTTAAAAAATGAGACATCCTCAAAAACTTGTTCCTGAATGCTTAGAAGCTGAATTGTTGTATTTATACAGTGGGACATATTTGCTTAGCACTTTAGAGGGTATCTCTGCCCCCTAGAAGCTTACGAGTACAACTGAATTTACCACTGGGGAGGCAACAGTGTAGGAAGGTCAGTGAATTCAAGGTGGGATCAACTACAGAAGAACAAGTACTATTTCTACTTCCTCTGACCTGGTGAAATCCTATGCATAGCTTCTCAGAAGTCCTTGAATTTAATGGCACACTCCCACGAATGGCCGCAATCCAAAACACACATTTTTAAATTAATAAATAATAATAAATAAATTTGACTGGTACAGATTGCAAGGATCTTCTACCTACAGTTGGGTTTGCTTTTGAAATGTGACGGTTAACCATAGCTCAGTTGTAAACCTTGCTGTTAATAAATATTTTCAAATACAATGCATTGGATGGTTTAGATTCACCCTAATATTTTTACACTGGCTTCCCCTCCCCCCAGAAAAGCAGCACCCAGAATTGGGCAGTTGTTGTTATGTGCTATCAAGTCGTCTATGACTTATGGTGAGCCTATGCATGAACGTCCTCCAAAATGTTCTGTCCAGGAGCAGCTCCATTTACCTCTGGGGCTTCTTTATGGACTGAATCCCTTTCACTTTCCTTTTCTTCCTCTGCCTTTGACTTTCCCTACCACGGTTCTCTTCTCCAGTGAGTCTTGCCTTCTCAAAATGTGTTCAAAGCTTGAAAGCCTCAGTTTTGTCAGTTTTGCTTCTAGGAAAGTCCCGGTTTGGTTTGATGTAGCGCCCACTTGCTTGTCTTTCTGTCAGTCCAGGCTGCCTTCCAGCACCGTGTTTTGAACACTGATTTTCTTCATGGCGGCTTCTTCACTGTCCAGCTTTCACATCCATACTGTGACTGGCAATACAATAATTTGGATGAATTTGACCTTGATCTCCAGTCAAACATCCTTCACTTCGATGATTTATTTCCTAGTTCCTTCACTGCTGGCCTTTCCAATTCTCAGTCTTCTTCGAATTTCTTGGCTGCACTATCTTTTGAACTGATGACTGAATGCAGGTACATGAAATCTTCCACAACTTCAGTTTCTTCATTCTTAAACAGTAAAGTTCTGTAATTCCTCTGTGGAAATTGTTTTTGTTTTCTTAATATTCAGCTGCAGTACAGCATTTGTACTTTCTTCTTTCACTTTGATCCGGAGTGGTCTCCAGTCATTGCTGCTTTCTGCCACTCGGATGGGATCCTCTGCATAGCTGAAATTAGTGATGTTTCTTCTGCTAATTTTCACTGAAGAAAAATTCCGACAGAACGGAATTTCGAATTTTGAGAAAGCAACGTGCAGTCCAAAGCACGTTGTTTTAAAAACAACCACCACCAGAACTCCCCTCCCTTTATTATTTAAATATAAAAATAGGCTTTTCTCTCTCCTGAGTCAGGCCTGGAATTCTGACTGGGCCGAAAATGCACCTCTGTCCCTTTGATTCCCCTGGGGCAACCCTCCTTTCCGGACTTGCCCGATCCTTCCCCAGGCCCGTCTCCAAACCTGGGCGTTACGGAAGGGACCCAGGGGTTCCGGGTCCGTCCTAGCTCAGAACCCCCTCCCTGGTCCCCTGCCTTCTCCGGGGTTCGGCCAGGAATCCCATGCGCTCCTGTATCCTTTCTTGCCCTATCCAGACGACTGAACCCCATGGACATCCAGTCCGGCATCCTCGTTGCAAGGCCCTCCCCCACCCCCTTTTCCGGTGCTCGTGGGGGATGGGATGCGATGGAAGGAACCCAGGAGCCCGGGGAGGGGGCTCGCAGCCTCCCGCGCCGGCATTCTGCTCTGGCCCCTCCCCTCCCCGCCCACCGCAGCTTCCCCGCCGCCGCGCCGCGCCGCGCGCTGGTGGAGGCGCCGGGCGGCGCGGGTGCGCGCGCGCTCAGCCGAAGGGGCGGCCGCGCCGAGGAAGGAGGCGGCGGAGGCGGGCAGGAGGGAGGGGACGGAGCGGCGGGGAGCGAGCGGCGACGCGGGCCTGTCGCTCCGTGCTCTTCTTCCGCGCGGCACCGGGGCCGCCGGCCGGGACCAGCGCTCGCCTCTCCATCCCGGCCGGGCGGCGAGGGGGGAGCCGCCCGCCCCGCGGTGGCCGCGCCGGGCTATGTTCGAGTAAGCGGAGCGCCGCGCGGGCGGAGGAAGGCTCGGCGGGCTGGGGCTGCGGGCTGCGGGCTGGGGGACGGGGAGCCGGCGAGGCGGAGGGCGGGACGCGCGGCCGGGCGCGCGGGAAGGGAGATGGGGAGCCGCCGCGCCAGCGCGGGCGCTCCCGGGCGCGCGCTGGCCGGGAGCGGGGGGCGATGGGGGCGGCCGAGGCGAGGAGGGAAGTGGGTTGGAGGGAGGCGTCCCGGGCGACGCAGCGTGGCTGCGAAAGGCGCCTCGGAGGCATCGTCCCCGGCGATCGCCTGCCGGGCTCGCCCGCGTCTGGCTGTCCTGCGCGCTAAGGTTCGGCTGGTCACTTGTCAGCTGAGAGAGGGATGGAGGATGGACAAAGGAGCTGCCGGAAGGGGGGAGGAGGGGGGCAGAGGAGAGGAGGCAGGCGAGGACGGCTGTTTAGTGGCGCGCGCGTGTATCCTTGGAAACGCGGTCGTGTGTGTGTGTGTGTGCGCGCGCGTGTGTGTCCGCAGGGGGTCGTCTCAGACAGCCTAGACTGGGAAGGAAAAAAAAGAGCGGGCTGTCTCCCCTAATCCCCGGGAGGGGCTGGTGGATGCAGCGTGTGCATGCGCGCGCGCGCGAGTCCGTGTACGTGTGTATCCGCGGCCTTTCGCAAAAGCCTTGTTGCATAGGTAGAGGTTTCCGATCAGACCAGCCCCCCCGCCCTTCCGCTCCCCGATCTCCCGGCCCACTGCTACAGGTGCGCATTTCTCCGCGCTTAGTGCTCCCCGGAGGGAGGGGGGCGCATCAAGAGTTCCCCAGCAGTGGCAGTGTGGTCTTTGTAGCGCCACCATCGGGAAAGGCTTTGTTCCGTGTGCGCGCACGCGTGTCTTCTCCCGTACGTGTGTGTGTGTGTGCGCGCGCGCGCGCGCGTGCGGTGAGCAAGAGGGTTGGCTTGCTTATTTATTTATTAAATTCGTTTGAAGGCCGCCGATGAGCACCACGCTGTTTAAGGGTCCTCCTGCAATTATCTCTTCAGCGCTGGCATTTCTGTTCTCCATTCCAAAACGGAACAACCCACAAGTTTAGGGAGAGCGTCTCTCACCCCCCCCCCGCCCCCCGTTCAGCAGAATCTGATTTACAGCTGTTAGAAAGACCGCAGCCTAGCAGAACAGGAGTTCAAAACACTTTTGTTCTGCTCTGTTGATCTGTTGGCTGCGGGTGTGAGTGTGTTTGTGTGTAAACGGATGCATGTGCTGGCAGACACATGCTTAGGGGAAGCTGGCCTCTGGCTCTCTTGAGAGCCCTCCTCTGCTCTGGGGAGGCATTTGGCCCTGCCTTGCCAAATGCACTTGCGTGTTTAGAAAGAATTGTTCCATTTAAGTCTAAAATTGCAGCGTGCTGGAAAGTAAAAGGAAATCCTCAAATCCTTTGTGTGTCTTTTTCAAATGTCTAATCTGTGTGCCTGTGATTAATACTGTTTTGTGGGAAAAATGACTGCAGAGAGCCCTTGAAAGGCCAGACAGTCAATTCATCATTTTCAAAAATTCTGATGTTAGTATTTCAAGATTATTTCAAGGCTTGTGATTTCCAGTAATAGAGGAACATACGGTACATGAGGTCACCAAATCTTATTTGTAGCCTCATGGTAACTTCCACGGTTCAGACATCTCACCATTGGTTTATCCAGATGAACTAGCGGAACCACAGATACCCAAAGACTAGACAGTAACAGCTTATTTAACTAAGCCAGCCAAATTTCACGTATCACAAGAAGGCAAGAACAACAGCAAAGGGTATGTATCTCGCCTGATTTTCTGGAGGGCGGGAGGGCTGTGATCCTTTTCTGCTCTCCAGCAAAAGGCCCTGATAGGACAGATGCCAGTAGCAGGCATGGTGGGACCTGCTGAGGTCCCTCACCCCACTGGAGGTCCTACTGACAAGGGAAGTGGGATTTGGCTCAAGGATCTGGGATACAGCCGCAGGAGGAGGCAGAGGTGACTAGCTCAAGGGCAGATGCTTCTCTGTGCCAGGCGGATCCCGGGAATGGAATAGACATGCAGTCAGCGGGAGGGGCTGCAGGGAAGCACCCAGACAGGGACCAGCTCCCTCCCTCCCTCCCTCTGGGCTGAACCCTGTGGCGAGGCACCAACAGAGGCGAGAGGCCCAGTTAGATGATTAGCATGCAGAAAGAAGGTGAGTCCACTTTCAGATCATGCTCAGGAATGTTCATAAGGAGAGTTCCTGGAAGTAATCTCTAGATTGAGATCAACAAACCACTCTGTGCATGCTCAGAGATTCAGTCCAGGTGACTTGTACTAGAGACAGTAAAGAATGTTTGTAAGAAAAATGGAACTGTGGTTGGTGTTTGTGCGAAGGAGGAATGTCAGCTCATGACAGTATGGATTATCTTTGAACTGTGGGTTGTTCTTGAAACAAGGGTTATCTTGCTGTCCGAATCCAGCTGAGGTAACAAAGAATGGTTTGCTAACCACAAACAGTCCACAGTGTACAACCCAACAACAAACTGTGGATATTCTCCATGGTGTACAAACCATGGTGCAACACAATAGCCCACCTTTCAGTAACAACCCGCAGTTCAATGATTACCCACACTCAACCACTGGGTGTCATTTTGTCTCAGCCCAGCCATTGCCTGCTTATTCATTAGCTCACTGCCTGGCCAGCAGGCACGTGGCAGCAGCAGGGAGGAAGAAGAGGAGGAGCATCAGTGGCTGGCGACGAGGGCAGTGAGAACATAGACCCAAAGAAGGAGAGGGTCTCTTTAGAGTCTCCTGGCCAAGGGACCGCAGCCATTTTTAAGCCAGTGCTACCCTGCACAGGAAGACAAATTCAGCTTGTTCCCACAGCACAGAGAAAGCCGTCTCTGTACTCACAGTGGGTGCACAAAATATTTTCCGTCACATCTGAAAGTAATTTTGTGTGCCTGACAACACACAGCGAATTGAAGCGTGGGAGCCTGGAGACAATCTTGTTACAGACAAGCCCGGCTGACCCGTGGGGAGGACCTGTCTTTTCTGTAATGTGTGAAGCAGCTCTGATTTCCACTGAAATGAGGTTGCATTGCATTGCTCATCTGTCCCGTCCAACATCCTGCATCTAATTGCTCCTGCAGTCACTGGTGCCCCAGAGGCAAACTCCCTTCCAAAAAACACCAAGGCTCCAGATGACAACTCCTGAAGCCTCCGCCGTGACATGACCTGAGGGGTGGACTCGCATTCCTGAATCTGGCTTCAGTGATGTGATCCAGTGTGAGTTACGTGCCTTTTGGACTTAACTGACAGCAGTGATGGATCTGTTTACCAGTGAGTGGCTTCCATTTAGTCAGAAGATTGCTTACCGATGCAATCCTATGCATGTTGCGAGTCCTACCAGATCGTATTTTTTGTACTGTGGAAGCTGACATAGGATTGCACCCTGATTGCACACATCACACAGTCAGGAGGCTGTTGACGTGGGTCTTTCAGAGAATCAGCCCTTCCCTCTTTGGGTGCAGGGACAATTCCACAGGAAAAGCTCTCACAGTCGGCCTCACTTACACAATTGAAACATTTACATGTGCTTCTGCAAAAGCAGGAGTTGCTCATGGGTAAATGCCTTGTGCATGGCTAGGAAACCTTGGAGTAAACCTGGGCCATGTAGCCTGAAACATTTGTACCGTAAGAGGCAGAATATGTGATGCTTGGCTGTGTTGTGTCACTGAGACGGCACCCACTTGGTGAGTTGTGCAGTAGCAGCCTTGGTTCGTGAGCCGACTTCATCGGTGTCCATAAAAATAGGGCTACTGCTATATGGCAAGTGCATGTAGGACTGGCTTGTGAGTCCCTGTAGGGAGTGTTGAGTTTCCTAGTGGCAGAGGTTGGATTTCCTCGGGGGTGTTGCTGTCCCCGTGCTTTCTGCTTCTGCGGGTACCATGCGGGGCTGAGCAGTGAAACCTGCCTGCAGGAAGCTCTCTCTCCCCAGCATCTTGCATCTGGCTGCGTGCTCCCCGTCTGGCCTCTGCCTGTGGATGTTGTCTCTGCCCTCACAACACGCTGCATTGAATCCTCCGTCTCCCGCCTGCAGTGCTCGGTGCCGCCTTCTGTTTGTCACAGCCCATTTCCCGTCAGTCCCCCAGTTCCTCCGGGTGCCCCTCTTCTCCTCTCCAGACCCTGAGGTCCACGTGGCGCATGGGCATGAGGCAAGGCAGGGGCATGTGGTTGCTAAACGCCACGCCAGGGTCGGTCTCCGGGAAAGCAGCTGCAGAGCGCCTGCTTTTCCCTGAGTTGTGGTTGTGGTTGTGGCTGCTCAGAGCCCAGGGCAGCCTTCCCCACCCGGGTGCCCTCCAGATATGTTGGACCTCAGTGGCCAGAGGTGCGCCCTTCCTCTCTCCCAGGATCTATTTGCATCTCCATCTGGTGTTGCAATGAACCCCATTGCCTTCACCTGTCTGTCCGTGGTGTTGCTCCAGCCCCTTTCCCGGTCGAGACCAAGGGCGTTGCTGGACACTTAAATGATGCGGAGCCCATTTTGTCATTATCATTATTAAGGTGCATTACATTTCTACCCCGCCTTTTTCCTCTTGCAAGGAACCCGGGGCAGCTTACCTGATCCTCACCCTCTTTATTTTTGCCTCCACAACAACCCTGTGAGGCAGGTTAGTCTGAGAGTCTGTGTGGGGTGAAACAGGTCAACCTTTCTTCCACTGCTGCAGTCTCCCTTGAAGATGGCCCATAAACCGAACCGAACCGAACCAAGCCTTTCCATTGGGGCCACTAGGTCCTTCAGGGTTGGGGACCAGATCTGGCAATATGCTAGGCCAATTCCTTTTCGATATTTTAACTTTCTGTTTGTTTGTAAAAGAAGTAAACAATTCTCATGAGGCAGAGTAGAATTGGTGTCCAGTTTACGGAAGGGGAAAGGAGTCTGTGATGACGCTGAGACCAACACTGAAGCAGGGAGAACCAGTGCGGTAGAGTGGGGAGCTGAGCAGGGCCATGTTTTTCCCCTTGCTCAAGCTTGGTCAGTAACTTCAGGCCAGTCACAGGCTCTCAGCCTAGCCTACCTCACAGGGTTGTTGTGAGGATAAAATTGAGAGGAGGAAGAATCTGCTGTAAGCTGTCCTGAGTTTCTTGGAAGGGAAAAAGGAATGAATAAACACGTAAACATTTTGCAATAGGGCTGACCCAAAGTAATTTGCTACATGAGGCAGTTATGAGATAGCCCCACCTATTCCCCTCTCCCAGATGAGGCGACCCCCTCTGCCTGTGAGTCCTGCACTGCCCTAGTCCTGCTTCTTCCAGTGAATAACCACATCCAGTGCTGATTTGATGCGGATCGCACCATTCTGCCGTAAGGGGTAGCTGGCTGTTCCCAAGTGGGCATCTACGGAGGAGGGAGCAGGTCAGATGGTGGCGCAGCTCCATTTGGAAAGCCATCGGCCCTCCCACATGCTTGGCACTTTGAATCCAGAACCAAGGACAGGCAGCAAACTGCACACGGGTTTCTTTGGCACATGTCTTGATGACAGGCTGTCCTTACATGGTGTGGAAAAGCTTTGGGTGCTTCTGTTTGAGTTCTCAGGCCATTTCCCTACCTTTGTGGTTTACGCTAGGAAGGAAAAGGGAGCTTCTGTCTCCTGGCCAAGCTTGCAGTCTGAGTGCATTCATGCTGGGGAGTGTTTTCCCCTCTTTGCCTGTGTTTTTAATTTTTATGCAACGGTCCAATTAAGATTTTGTTGTTAGTCTGTCTTTTATTGCAAGCTGCATCAAGTGCTTTCTGGGGGATGGGGCAGGAAGGCAGGCTGCATATTAAATAATCAAATGCATCTTAAAAGCCCTACAAGCTGAAGGTACTTCGATTTAAAAATTAAGACATTATGGTTGTGTTCAGGTGTGATTTACACTTTGCTGGCAGACTGGTGCATCTCAGGGTATGATCTGACCCCACACAGGTAGGCTGCCATCTGAAGGTACAAAGTATGCCGTAGGGTTAAGTTAACTTGCCAAATTAAGCGGGTTTGGGCCTGGTTAATGCCCAAACTGATCAGTCTGTCCCGGGCATCTAGGCAAACTGTTCTGTTACGATTTGCCCTGTTCTTTAACTTCATGTTTGGCCAGAGGTCCAACTTGGGGCTGGCAGAGGAGCCAAGCTTGTGTCCTTTTCACTTCTGTTGTGCTGAGTCCTCAGGCCTGGTCTAGATGTGCAGCACAAGGAGGTGGCAGAGTCCTCATCTGGTAGGGAAGACTGTACCACCTCACATTGCAGGCAAGGGAGTGCCTTTTCCTTTCATTTTTGGAGAAGAACTCACAGCATGTATACAAGTAGCAGATCGGGAGAAAGGTCCTAGCCTAACCTCTCTGACACGCTGCTTTGCTACATCCACTTTCCTTCATGCTTTTCTGCATGAACGGGATTCCAGCAGGCAGGAAGATGAAAAGGCATTTTGCCTTCCACTCCACTCCCAGGTTGATCAACAACTTGTATAGCACTGCAAGTGTAGCGTGCAAAGCCATCCGAACAGATACAAAGGGAGAAGGATAATGAAAAGCAAGCAAGCAAGCTCAAATCAAGGAGGTGTTTTTTAAGGGATGAGTCATGTTTTTCCCATGCTGTATCTTAACAAAATCCAAGTAAGGCTAGTGGGGCAGAAGCTCAACATGTCCTTCCGTTCTAATTCTGCCATCTGCTATTTTCATGAATATACATACATAAACTATAGCAAATCACACTGAGCTGGAGCATGCAAGCTAGAAGGGATCTTTGGGCTCAGATCTTCTTGCTTTAGAAAAGTGGCTGTATCGTGTATCTTCAGATCAGCTCCTATTAAGAACTGCGTGGGGTCAGAGCCAGCCACCAACAACATGTGACACCAGCTCCTGCAGAGCAAATGCAAACATTTCCTTCAATGCTTTTTTTTTTTAATTAACGTTCTTTCAGCTCACACAATTGCAAAACCACAGCCGGCATGTGTGTATATTCATTTATAATTCAAGTATTTTTACCCTGTTCTTAAGCAAAAAAAAAAAAAAAGGAGGGCTCCAAGAATGCTTAGGAGGACCTCTGACAGGACAATCCCTGCCTCCAGGTTTATAGTCTACAGGATGCAACATCAAAGGAAAAGGGATGAGGTGGGAAGAGGAAAAAATAGCAAAAAGCAACTATTTTTTTATACTGGAAATTTCTTTGAACAAGCAGCTGGAGTGAACAAAAGCTCAAGGACAGGAGGGAGCAAAGGCTTCTGGTCTCAGCAGAGCTGATACTGGTTTTGCCCCCTTCACTTCTTCCCAATTTGAGCAGAAGACAGAAGCCCTGTCTTTTCTGTGTTTAATCCACTAAGGTGGAAAAACGACCTGAGAATCCCAAACAGAATTTTAAACAGAAACATCCAGTGGTCATCATACTATATAAACTTAGTCTTTCAAAACATTCACATCAGAATTCCTCACCCTGGATCTAAATTAAAAGTACCAAGTTATGGGAACTTCGCTTGCCTTATACTTTGATTCTCTTTCCTCTTCTGTGGGTTATTGCCTAGTTTTGTCAGGGCCTTGCAGGCCATTTCTGAAGGGAAGGGTGTGTGCTGTAGTTTAAAAATGTGCTGCAAGAGTGTGACTGCACTTTTGGCTTTTCTGACTCGCCCCAGCATTCATCTTGAATGAATGAACCTACATTCTACTATTTTGAGAGAGAAAGCAAAACTTTGCTCCATCCAGTTTTTCTCCACCATGCATTATTTTCTACTTCTCAGTCATATTTTTTCCTGAACAAAGTCACCCCAAATGTTGTGACCTATCCTAGAAGAGTAGCTCCCATTCCTTGGCTGCCCTTTTCTGCACCTTCTACAATAGTCTTTTTCAAGTGTGCTGAACAGAACTGTACATCATATTCCAAGTTTGGTCACACCATGGAATTGTGCAAAGGTATTACAATGGTGCCAGTTTCATGTTCAGTTGCTGCCTAATGAGCCTTAGCAAGGGCTCTGCCGTTTTCCACAGCTGCTGCACAATGAGTCAATGTTTTTATTGTAAGCGATGATCCCGCTAACTGCTTCCTGGTCAGTTCCCACCAGCTCAAACCACATAAAGTTACGCGAATCTTGGATCTTTTCAGCCAACGTATGTCACATAACACTTACTTGCCTCCAAACTGCCTTGGCTATTTTATTGTCCATTTGCAGCTTGGAGAGATCTTGTGGGAGTTCTCTGCCGTTTCTTTTTGTTTTAATCACCCTGAAAAGTCTGGCATCATCAGCAACCTTGGCTGCCTTACTGCTGCTCACCCCAAAGCATAGTCATGGATAAGTTTAAAAGCACAGGCATCAGTGCAAATATTTGGCATCTGTTTAGCCACTGCATGGATCAGGATACGGAACCTGGGTCTCTAGTCTGATCTAGCAGGGTTTTTCTCCCATGTGGAGGCTGCCACCCAGTTCTGGACCTGGTTTTGTGGTTTGAGATGGAAGGACCACTGCAGCACCAAGGAATGAAGGATTTGGCTTGTGAAAAGCAGAAGGTAAACGGAACTCTTAAACTACTTAGAACTCTCAGGATATCCAGCCAGGCTTGAATGTTTAAAGTCCACTTCGCATGCACTTTGCGCAGAATGTCCATCTACCCAGTTTGGAGGTAGGGGGAGAAGCTGGAAGGGTGTGTGATGGCTGCTTGGGGAGGGTACGTTAGCAAAACCTCTTCCATTTCCTTGCCAGTTGGCTAAAGGTATTTTAACCTGCTCTGGGTGGCGGCAGCAGATGGTTGCAGCACCTTGGGAACTCTGGCATCACTTGGTTGGCAGTAGCACCAGGGGCAATGCCTTTTTAAGGTTTCAGCAAGGATGCACACATCTGAATTCCGGACCAACCTGACTTGGGGAATCTGATGCCAACTGGGGAGGGATGTTTCAGCTGTTGATGGCACGGCCCAATTTTAGAACAGAGAAAAACATGGAGAGTCACTTCATGGAACTGAGTTGTGCTCCAAAGTGCGTTGCTTCGCAGGACAGGCATGTGTCCGAGGAGACAAGAATGCATGCCTTAGTTCTTTGGGCAAAGAGCCAGGGGTCTTGGCAAGGTCTCAGCTGTGCTTCTCGCTTGGCATCAGAAGCATCGTGCTGCTTTTCGGCAACCTACTGTGGGCACCAGGCTGTGTGTGGTGAGGCAGGCAGGCAGGCAGGTGGACTAGAGAGAGCTGCTCTGTCTGAAGAAGCCTTAGTACGGTGGAAAGGGATGGGGGAAGTTCTTTTTTCTGTGTGTGTCGCCCGCCTGCTGGCCAGCTGCAGCTGTTCAATGCAACACAACCACCTGCTGTAATGGGCTGGCTGGGAAAGACAAATGGGGGAAGAGGAACCAAAAAAAGAATGTGATGTGCTTAGCAGGGAGTGAACAGCCAAAGCAAGCCCTACGGAGATTTCACTCTCGCTCTTGTCTTCTTGAGTTTTCCTCTTTCTCTTCTTCTTGCTCCCCAGTTTCTTACACTGATGAATTTCCCTCCCCTCTCTTTCTTCCTCGCTCTCATTTGCACCAGGACACAGGGCCGATCCCTGGGCAGCCGGTAAGTTCCCTGCTAGATTGGGATATGTGATTGTATATGTGCATGATGGAGTTTTAGACTTGATCTGGGGAGAGGAAGGTTGAAATTGCCACTCAGACATGATGACTTGGTCAAGGTCTTCAGGTTGCTATTTTGTAGTCCAATCTACCTTACAGGGTTGTTGTTGTGAGAGTGAAATGGGGATGTTTTGTGAATGTCCCCCTGAGAGCCTTGGAAAATGGGTATGACATGAAAGAGGTAAACACCAGTAATTCAGTTCTGGCATCCTCCTACTTTCATATTTCAGACAAGTCCACAAAAAACGACTACTCTATCCTTTAATTTATTCCTTCTAATGTATTCTTCTCACTGTCTCTATCATGGATTAAAAAGCAAATTAAAAAACTTAGGTTGTGTATGCAATGCATCCTGTAGAGCGTACGGTAAATGTTTGAGAACTGTCCACCCTTTACCATTTTGATCAGAAGTATGACAATAAAAATAGAGTCAAATCCAGTAAAAATGCTTATTCATTTATGATGTTTTATGGTGCCTCATGACATAAAGTTCCCTGGGTGGCTTGCATGAAACAAATCAAAACTCCAATTTAAATACAAAAGAAAACAGGACACTATACAATCAAAAGCAATGGCAAAACGATAAGAAACGAAATTCACACCAACCTCAGAAATAAAACACAGGAATAAAACATTTATTCACAATGGAGAGACCAAGACTGCATGGATTTTTAAAAAGACACAAGTGAACAGCAGATCTTCACCTGGTGCTAAACCCCCTGGGTGGCGTCAGGTGAATCTCTCTGGGGTGAGTGTTCTGTGAGTGGGGTGATGGCGTCAAAAGGTCCTTGTGCCTTTACTTAGAAGTAGGCTCACTATTTTCGGTGGTGCTGAAACTCCCTAGCACCTTAAACCCTGTCCTTTCACTCATGTGTCTATTATTACTAACAGTAGAATGCCGGTTAAGAAGACAATTTAAACCATTTGAGCAACTGAAAAGGATTTCCTGATTCATCAGGCAGTACTTTTAATGAAGCATGTATTCTTTAATGGAACTACTGGTAAAAGCTTGATGCGGACGGCTGGTCATTAGCTTCATTATCTAACCTGCTGACCTGCAGATGTGTTGGACAACAATCTGGATTACTTTCAGCCGGAGTCCAACATACCAGCTGGATGCCAAATTGGGGAGGTCTAAAGCAATTCGTGCATCCTCTCCCCCACCCCCGCACACACACCCCATTTTTGCCAGGGGGGGTGCGGGTAAGATTGCATGAATTAGGTGTTATTGGGCAGGATTTCATACATTCCAGGCCACGGGGATTGGGGTCCAGCCTTGCACCTTGTATGCAGAGGGCACTTTGGAATGGCCCGAGCACATGCCTTGACATGAGTCGCCTCCTTGCTTCCCTTTCGGCCATCCCTTGGAAATGCCAAGGCTTCCTTGGGTGACCCGAGCTGAAGGCTGGAATTAGGATCTGGTTTCGCCCCATCAGTGGAAATGCTTCCTGTTTACATTCCCCAGCCCTAGCAGTAGCCTCTGCTAGGCAGGAAACAGGAAAGCCAGCTACAGTGTTGTTACGGCCCCCAGGTCCCAAGAGGGTTTTGGAAGCTGTAAGAGTTGCTTTCCCCTTTGCAGTCTGGCAGTGAGGGGAGAATCATGAAATAGTAGAGTTGGAAGGGGCCGTGAAGGCCATTGGGTCCAGCCTCCTGCTGTTGCAGGACACCACGTTACACCATCCCACTCAGATGGCTGTCCAGTTTCTTTTGGATTGTCTCCTGTGTGGGAGAGCCCCCCACCTCTCTAGGCAGCTGGTCCCACTGTTGTATTGCTCTGACAGTGAGGAAGCTCTTCCTGATGTCCAGCCTGACTTTGGGTTGTTGCAACTTGAATTGATTATTCTGTATCCTGCACTCTGGCATCAGCAAGAAGAGATCTTGACCTTCCTCTTTGTGACAGCCTCTGAGGTCCTTACAGAGGGATACTATGTCTCCCCTCAGTCTTCTCTTCTCAAGGCTGCACATGCCTAGTTCTCTCAGAAGCTGAACCTGGCCGAGTTCTCAGTGTCTGTGATGAGGATGGCCCAAGACATTTCGCTGCCTGGAGCAGAAGACAAAATCATGGCCCCCATATGGACCAGCAGATGAACTGGTCTTCAGCACTGCAAAATTGCCAGTGCCCCTGGGAAAAGCTGGTGCGGCGTAATGGTGGGGCGCTGGACTGGGATGGGGCAGGTCTGGATCCCAGCCTCCCCCGGGGTGCTGAGTCTCAGCTGGGCATGCCTCACAGGCTTGGGGTGAGGACAGGATGGAAAGGAGGGGGGCTATGTCAGCCTTGTGGCCCTGCAGGAAAAATGGTGGGGCATACATATCATGAAGAAATAAAAATGAAACGGAGGCAGCGGCCGCCATGGCCCTTGAGAGCAGCTGGCTCGTTCGGGCTGTGCATGCCGCTCTGTCGTCAGACCGAGGGAAAGAGCTGGGCGGGTTGGGGAGGCTCAGGGTAGGGGACTGTGGGGGCACCCACTTTACCTCGTCCTGGAGCAGAACCGCCTGGGAGCCCCTGCAGACTCAGCCGTGGCTTCGTGGGTGACCTTGGGCTGCTTGCACTCTCTCTTCCTGCCAAGCAGCATGTAACATATGGGATGTATAGTGTTCAAAGGGGGAACAGAATCATGGTTATTTAACAGTTCTATAACAATAGCAATTAAAAACAGACAATATACATAAATCCATCCTATGAAATGAACATGCACTGCTAAGCATTCTGAGCAAAATCGCCTTTTATTTTCATATGTATTATATGTCTGTTGTGCCCTTTTTCCTGCAAGGAGCCATAGGAGGTCGGTATAATCCTCTTCATTTTATCCTCACAACAACCCTGTGAGGTAGGCTAGACTGAGATTGGGTGAGTGGCCCAAATTCACTCAGGTTGCTTTATTGCTAGAACCCAAATCTCCGGAGTCCCAGTCCATCCATTATGCCACAAATTCAACTATAGATGATCTTCCTCTAATAATTGTAATAAATCCCAGTTGCCTCCAATTCTTTTATGGAACATTAAGGACAATACCTGGTGTCTTAGTCCAATTAACCAGAGGTAACAGACCAGCACTAGTTTATCATTGCTGCAAAATAAACCATTGCTTGCTTAAATGATGGAAATTCTGAAGACATTATAAAAATAGAAAGGGTTGCTTGTGGGCGGAAATCATCTCTTGAGAAATGTTATAATTCCCTTAACAAGGCAGATCTAACGAAGGACTGGGAATGCACCCACGGTCCCGGGGGACTTCGGTTCCCGAGCTTTCTCAGCCAGATCTGTCCCACAGGACGGACATGAGGACAAAATGGGAGTTGAGGACTTGTCTATGCACCGTGGAAGGCAGGAAATGTTTGTAGGAAGGACAAACCAACTTCTGTGCAGCTCTTCAAGATACGCGGTCCAGATCTAGGCAGCCTGAGCGTGTGGAAGAACCTCCTGGGATGGCTTTACCGAGGCTGGGCAAATGGACAAACGGGGGCAGAAATTCACCTGAGTGGTCAGTCCTGACTTTGTGGGGCTGCCCGTTGAGGAGTGGCGGAAGCTCCGTCGGGCTTCAAGTCCTCACTCTTCCATTCTCCACTTCTCTCCAGCACGGGCACCACCTCCCCACGGACAACTCCAAGTAGCTCTCCATCGCTGAGGAAGCGCCTGCTGCAGCTGCCCGCACGGCCTCCTCCAGAGTCGCCCTCAGAAAGCATGGTGGAGAAGGGCTCGGAGAATGCGGGGGAGCGGGGCCCTGCGCCAGGGCCCCCTCCCAGCACGCCCCTCAACTACCCACTCAGTGGGCGCAGCTTCATCCGCAATAACAAGGTATGCTGGGGGCGGGGTTGGGGGTACATGAGGCTTTTCCCCCGTGAATCTGTTTGGGTGTAGAGCGAGAGAGGATGATTTCAGAGCTGGGGAAGGGAGGAGGATGGCTTCCATATAGCCTGAAGTGCCTGATCCTGCCTAATCTTGGAAGCTAAGCAGAGTTGGCCTGGTTAGAACCTGTATGGGAGACTTGCTTGTATCATTCTGTGATTATTGTAAAATAACTCAGATTAAAATGCATAATCAGCAGATAAGAATAAATACATAACCACAGGCAGGCTTGAAGGGTTGTGCATGTCAGGCAAAGGTCCCTTGAGAAGTTGTTCCATAATTGGGTGCCACCAATAGGCAGGCCCTGCCAATTCTGTTGTCAAAGGAAATTCTTCCCTTCTGACTGCTTGATGCTCTGGCTTGCATACCCCTCATGGGTACACATAGGATGTAATGCTATTCATATGATTTGAATACATGACTTTTCTTATAACACATGCAGACGAATAAACGGTACTGGAGGAGGTCAAGGACAGGAAGTGGAGGCTTTAACCTTTTTCTTCGATGCAGCCCTAATTAAAATCAGGATATGTGTCTCCTGTTATCCCCAACACTAGCTAAACCCAGTGAGGAGAAAGTTTCACCGACATGGCGTTTGTCTCCCATTGAGTACAGCAGGTTCAGGAGCCCTGCAGTTTGGATGGGGCAGCAGCGGTGGTGGAGAACGGGTTAAAGCTCCCTTCTTCTCCCCGCTGCATAATCCTGATCCATCTCAGCAGCCTTTCTTCCTTCCCCACTCGGTGCTATTTGCTAAAATACACAAACACAAGTGAGGCCAAACAATGAGAATATTGTCACATCTAATTTAGCCCTCGGCTCTCACAAGGCACAAGTCGGGAGGTGTGAAGGGGCAAAGAGGCAGCCCTGGGTTTCTGATAGCCCACTGCTTTCTTTGCCTTGCAAAACACCCGCCACGGGTCATGCAGGGTGCATGCAGGGATAGGCAGGTGAGGAGGGGTTTACACCAGGACATTGTCTCTCCAAATGAACTCCATCACTGTGACTGGGTCCCCGGGCCAGGGCCTGGCTCTCACAGGAGTGTGGCAAAGCCAATGTATTCCAGATCGTGTGATTTGTCCATCTCGCCCAGGGGTGCAGCTCCTCTATCAGTCTGAGAGCCAGATTCCATTCTGGAGAAGCTGTTGGTGAATGCTTGCTTTGGCCAAGCAAGCATGGCAGGGCCAAAACACAACCCTGCTTCAGCACCATTTATCTGCCAGCTTTTACTGCCAGTAATCCAGCCCCTAGAGGAGGCATTTTAATCCCTCAGAAAAGGGTAAAACCTATCCGAAACTAGAAAACCACTGTTGTCAAGGGAAGGAAGGTGAGGCCATGGCCATCTGGGCCAGGTCTTGTCTGTAGGGTTTGAGGTTCTATACCCCTAATAATGCCTCCTTATAGGCAGGGGCCCTCCAGGGTTTCAGATGGAGAAACCTGCTACCTGAGCTTTTAAAGAACTTTCCATAACAGGGATGGAACCCTAGGACCTTTGGTGTACTAAACATTATACGTTCTGCCCCGAACTACAGTCCTTCCTTCCCGAATCGTCTTTTACTGCTAGTGTTATTAGTGTGCAATGCCATCACAGGACACATGCTCTGTCTATTAGCCCTTTCTGACTGCAGCAAAATGAAGAACTCTGGTTTGGTTATCAAAAATAGGTCTTAGTCAAGCTTGGAATTCAGTGAAAGCATTGTCATAATCTTTGATGGTTTCCAAGGTGAGCTACACTAATTTTCCTCTCTTTCTTTTCTTTCAGAAAATGCAGAGCTGGTACAGTGTAAGTGGCTATCATTGTTTTTATCTGTTGGGGTGTGTGCAAGAATAGACCCTTCCAATCTAGGGTCAATAGATGGTGATGATGAATCTGTTTAATGTCTATTTTGCCCAGAAGCTCTCTGGGTGGTTTAGAAGATTACATAAGAAAACAATATAAAATAAAAACAGCGTTAAAACATCAGAAAAAGATTACCATACAAAAATTGAAAGCAAGTTTGAAACACATATAGATTCATAAGTGTACAAAAATATTGGCTGAACAGGAAGGGTTGGACCCTTTGGTGTCCGTCTAAATGAGATTGCTGGAGGGAGCCCTCATCTCCTTTCACGGCCACTGATCCGCTACACCTGCAATCCTAAACATAATTATTGGGAAGGAAAAGCCGTAGAGTTCAGGACCTCGTGATGAGTAATCGTGTCTGGGATTGCACAGTTGTAGCCAAATTGTTCCACTGATTTCAGGGAACTTTTGCTTAAGTTCAGTCTTCCCTAGCTGGGGTCCCCCCAGATGTGTTGGACTACAGCTCCCATAATGCTGAGCCATGCTGAGTGTGGGTGATGGAAAGTATAATCCAGCACGTCAAGAGAACACCAGCTTCGGTGAGTGCAACCAAAAGCTTTTTAGGAGCATGTCCACAAAGGTTTGGGGGTTTGTTTTGGTAGTGTGCAAATACATGAGCGATAAAAAGAATATCGCTAATTATAATTTTCTTCCCTGCCTCCTAAAACTCTGAATATGATGCCACTGGGCCAAACTAAATATGTACCATTTGTTAGATTAGTAAATTTGTGAATACTGGTTTTAAAATGGGAAAGGACAGGCATCCAAAAGGGTGGTGATAATCCAGGATGGGGCCCTGTTGTGGGGGTTGGAAAGGGGATTTAAGTCTTTGCCCTGTTGCAGTTCTAACATGTATTGGCTTCCCTGTGCTTGTTCTTTCTGCTGGGAAAAACCTTCTGTCAGCTTTTCTAGAAGAGCCCCAGACCTGTGAAGCAAAAGGAAATTTTATTTGCAGTTTTAAAAACAAACCAACAAACACTCATCTTTGGAGATTTATACCCACCTTTCAGTCAAATGAATCATCAAGGCAGTTATAGACTGCCAATATTAAGAATTATTAACTTTAAAATGTTGCCTGATTTATTGGGGAAGTCCAAGTTTCAATTTGGATGCCAGGAAGTATTTCCTGATGGTTAGGGCCCCTAGGGTATGAAATGGGCTTCCACGGGAGGTGGCTGAGGCCCCATCGGTGAGAGTGTGCAAGGATAGGCTGGACATGCATGTGGTAGGCATGTCATGAACGGAGCCCGCTGGAGCTGGGGGTCAGACTAGATGGCTCAGGAGGTCCCTTCTGACTTGCTCTGTTTCTATGTCTCTATGTCTTTTTTGTTGATCAAAGAAGATTATAACTGGTTGATAAAAAGTTGGTTGATAAAAACTGGTTGATAAAAAGTTGTAGTCTTGAAAATACATTAAAAACAAATTATGCCATGTATTTATTGGCTACCTTTATAGCCCACTTTCCTTTCCGGGAGCCCTTAGGTTCAAACAACCCTGTGAGGTAGGTTAGACTGAGACTGATCCAAAGGACTAGCCCAAAGCCACTCAGTGCTTTGAAACAGTGCTTTAAAACAGGGAATTAAGAGATTTCAAGCTTCCATGATCTCTTTTGATTCTTTTTACTAGAACCCTGAAAGATACCTATGGGCGACAGGTGCAAAATGGCTCAGGCAGATGGAGATATGCTAAGAATTAAGGAACAGGGTGTGTCTGAGCTCATGGTCAGCTCAGGAATTTGTGACCAGTACCAGAACCAAACTCGCAAGTCCATTCATATAAAAATTCTATGTGGGTTTTGCCCCAAGCATTCGTTCTGGATGACCAAAGGGAGGAGGAAGTTTTTAATCTGATGGGTGAGTTACTGCAAATCACCCAGAGATCTACCTGTGAATCTCAGTTTAATTTCTGCCCACTGCTGTTGCAGACCAGAGCTGCAATGGTATCTTCCTCCAGTGGCTAATTACCATCTTGCAGTGTGGTCAAAATTTTGTCCATGGGCTACTTGAGAGGAAATGAGCAAACAACTGACAGCATATAGAAATCAGGCATCGTGGAGAGAAGGACTGAAAACCTTCCTCTTCCTCTTACATTTATTTTCTGCCTGTGTGGGTTGGTTTTTCAATGAAAAGGCTTTCAAAAGCAGTATTCCTTTCCCCTCCCCAGCCCGGCAACAGACTCTTTCACCTCATTCTGCCACATCTGCCTTTTCCGTCCAGATGCCCTCCAGGGACATGGACTACACTCCCCATGAACCCCAGTGAACAGGCCTCGCTGGCCAGAGATGATGGGAGTTGTAGTCCAACCCCTCTGGAGAGTGCCAGGATGGGGAAGGCTGTGTGATGGGTATAGACGTAGTTGATCTTGAATAAAATGGACAAGGGCTTGGAAAAGGAGGACTGGGTTTGTGAATGTGTGGGAGGGTGCTGGGTCATGGCTGGACCCCAGTCAAGGTTAGTTGGGCAAGAACTGAGGAATGGGCAGTATCCTTTCCCCCACCCCAACTCACTCTGTTTATAATCAGATTTAGTTTGACCTGCTGAGCGTTCTTCAAAATTCTTTTTGCTTTCATATTATACAGAGGGGGGAGTGTTTGGGGGTTAAGGTGATGTGGTGGGGGTAGATATAAATATGCTTTGCTATGCTGTTTCAGATTTATGCATAATTTTAATTTATATTTTATTATGATCATCGTTGTTACTGCTTTGCATAATTTGCCGATAACATATTTGAAAGACAGAATAAACACTCTAAAAAAAAATCAACATTTGTTGTTGTTAGTCGCGAAGTCGTGTCCGACCCATCGCGACCCCATGAACATTGGAAGATGCCTTATGCTGAAGTGGTCCATATAGCCCATTGCTGTCAACTCTGACTGGCAGCAGCTCTCCAGGGTTTGCGCAAGGAGTTTTCCATCCCTACCTGGAGATGCCAGGATCACACTAGAACCTTCTGCCTACAGAGTTTGGACGCTGTTGCAGAATCGTAGCCCCTCAGCTAAACAAACCAATTTTGTCTCGGACCATAATCTGGTTTCTGCTTTCAGGTTGTAGGAATGAAATAAAACTAGAGCATCTATGGGAGTAGCATATCAACAGTGACTCTGGGCATCTGCAGAGTTGCCACTGAGCCTGCCACAACCTCCCTGCCTCTACCTGTCCCTCACTGTTCCCTGTGCATTTTGGAAGAGGGCTACAGCCAGGAATTCTTTAGAAGTTAAGCAGTGGGTGTGTAGACACACCCCACTCACCATCCTGCAGATAAGCCACTGGGGTGGGTTGCTGAGCGATCTATGGCATGTTCAACAGATGATGTGGCTTCTTGGGGTTGTTCTCCACATTCTTCCCCCTCATCTTTCAGCCAGCCCAGCATGTATCCGAGTGTCCTCCCTGCTCTGATCACTTCCACTTTTGTTTGCCATTGAAAACAAACAAACAAACTGGAAACTCAAACAAGTGCAATTAAAGTATTTATGTATGGATTTGTTTACCCTAACCCTGTTTAATTTCAGCCCTTGAAAATTGTGCAACTGTGTTTGTAATTCTAAAAAAAAAAACCCTCTACCTATCTCAAGTGTGTTTTTACAGCTGTCCCGTGTATGCAGTCTTTCCCAGTAAATTTCCTTGTCTATTTTAGTTGTCCAAAGGAACAATGGACTAGGTAACTGATTGACAAGGCAAGGCTACAGATAGGCTAATTTCTGCACAGTTGCCAGGGTCCAGTTGCCAACTATCAGTTGCAAAGCCCTTGTGAAGTGGGGGAGGCCAAAGAAGGTGCTGCAAAGGGGGGAAGGGGAGAGCACCTGCCCCTTCTCTTTTCAAGACTTCCCTCCATTGCCAGCTACTCCAGAAAGAGGAGATACTAACTCCTCCTGCCTTTTGTGCTTCTCTTTTGGAGCAGTGGTTGTGGCGGTGCCCCGCCACTTCTGAAAAAATGCATAATTATGCACAAATGAAATGGCTGGAAAGTAAATGGAGGAGAAATATGGGCACTTGCTGTAACAGAGCCATGAATGCAGCCTTGCAAAGTTCCCCCCTATTTACTTCCCAGTGGTTTACTTGAAATTTGTATCCATTTCAATGTCCATTTACTGCCAAGCCTTTAAATTTCAGCTGTTTTTTAAAAGTGTCTGGAAACGCCAGTAAGTGCTCCAAAAATAGCACAATATCAATAGGGACATGGGGAGTTAGTATCTCCCCTTTCTGGAGTAGCTGGAGGGATGGACAACTTTTGGAAAGGTGGGGGGACACTGCAAACTATTATTTCAACACTTAAAACTGAAAAGATCACATTGCCAATGCAGAGAGATTTTCTGGGTCCCCTTTGGGGACACTACCTGGTCCCCCCTTTCTCTTCCTGTTATTTCTCTCCTGGTCCTTCACAATTGTGCATATATTAGTTGATAGGCCAACCTCAACTCAGAAAGACTTAGGTGTGTGCTTGTGAAAGACTGACCAAAGAAAAATAAACACTGTAACTCCAACTGTGCATTTTGGAGGAGCTCTACAACAGTAATTAAGGAGTTTGGAAGTGAGCGAGGGTCCTCCCAAAGTGCTTATTTTGGCACCAATAGAAAGGCGCTCCGTGCTTGTCAAGCTCCTGGGGAGGCAATGGCGGCCACCCAGCAGTGTTTCCCTGCTTTGGAGGACACGCCTGCCCATCTTGGGTAAGAACAAGCCATGGGTTTTCTACACGGGTTGTTCTGGGGGAAAAGCCACCCTTGGGAAACCGCGCTGCGTTGCGCAAACGCGACCTGCACGTGGCCCGTTGTTTTCCCCTCCCGGGCAGACTCCCCCAAGTGGGTAGGATACGGTTAACTGCAGCCTGACACCCTCCTCTCCTCTCCACCCCACCCTTTTGTTTCCTGTAAGCGACACCCAGGCGCCCTACGCCAATGGCCGGGCCGTGTAACTGGAGCCCTCCTGGCCTCTTCTCCGCCGGGCTGGGGGAAGCCGTTCCGCCCCTTCCTCTTTCCACTCCCGCCGCGGCTTCTCCCCGCTCCCCCATCGCCCCGGTCGGTTTCCTGCACCCCCCTCTCCACGAGGATCCGGCCCCTGCAAGCCACAGCGCCCCGCCGGGTGCACTTCGCAGCTCTCTCCTCCCGCAGCCTCTGCGCGCTCCCAGCCTCCTCTCTCCTGGGCTCGCTCTCTCCTTCCGCACTTTGCTGGTCTTCCTCTTCCAGCGCGGACTTGCTCCTGTCCCCACGTCTTCCTGGCCCGCTTCTGTGGCCAGCTCGGGTCTCTAGCCCCTTCCCGAGCAGCGCCTGCCCCGGCCTGCCCTTTGCCTTGCTGCGCTGGCGCACTGCCCTTCTCCTCCCCCAGCCCGGCTGCGGCCAGTCTGTTCCCGCAGACGCTGCTGGCCTGCCCCGTTCTGGGCGCCCGCCTCCCGCCCTCCCTCCCTCCCTCCCTCCTGCAAGCCCCGTGGGTGCTGCGTGGGGGCCTCTTGGGTTGGGGCTGACCGGCTCCCCCTGGTAAAACCCGGGACTGCCTGGCCGCAGCTGTCTCCGGCGGCGTCTGGACAGAGTAAGAGAAACGCCTCGCTCTTCTGCCCTCCTCCTCTGGGCTCCTCTTCCTCTTGCCTGCTGTCCTCCAGGCAGTCCCCCAGGCGTGCCCGCAGCCTAGCCCCTTCCCCGCGTGGCCCAGGGCTGCTCCTCCGCCCCAGGAGCCCCACCCGCCACAGCCCTCCCAGCCCTCTCGCCCCCTGCGCCAGCTGCCCCCAAAGCCTCATTCCGCGACAGCACAGCGGGCGTGCCTTTCCTCCGATGATGCCAGGCGCACACCCCTCCGGGCGCTTTCAGATGGCCTAGTGTCACTGGCCCGAAGGTATTCTGCAGCTCTTGTGCTTTTCCTTGCTGAGTGGATTTTCTGTGGCAAGAGCAAAAGACGGAAGAAGCCATTGTGAAACGCGGGGAGGTCATGAACGGGAGGGGCGGTTGTCTAATTTTGGTTCAGGCACAGCAACTGCCCCATAGAAGCCTTTGAAGGCACCCCAATCCTGTGTGTCACGCTTCCATCGCTTTGGGGTTCCAGCTGCCTTCCCCACTGAACAAGCCTCCCCACTGTGGCTGTCTTAGCATGGGCAGAGACAAGGTTCTAGTTCCCAATCAGTTGTGAAGCTCACTGGGATGACCTTGGGACAACTTTCAGGCCTGCCTACCTCAGAGGGTTGTTGTGAGGATGCAAAGGGGGTTCCTTGTGTGCTTTTCTGAACTGACTGAATGAAGGGGAAGACTTAAAAAGCAATGCCATAAGAAATGTAACCTCGTCATTCTGCACTTCCCTGTTGCTCAGCTAGGACAGACAACCTTCTGTAGGTGACTTGGTGCCTTCCAGATGTTTTGAACTACAGTTCCCATAATTCCCCTGACCATTGACCTTCCTGGATGCCCTGCTAGCCACATTCCTGTTTTTCTGTCCTGCACCATCTTTCGGTTCCTTGCCTGGAGAGAGAAGGTGTTATACAGGTGGTGCTCTCTGAAGCAGGGGTGCCTTGGGCAGGGGCTCTGGGGTGGGAGTCTCAGTGAGTGAAGCTCCCATCCTGAAGAGCCTGATCTGTCCTTGGCAGATGCTGAGTCCTACCTACAAGCAGCGCAATGAGGACTTCCGCAGGATCTTCAAGGGTCTGCCTGAGGCTGAACGGCTCCTTGTGGGTGAGACACAGGAAGAAGGGCAGGGTGTCTGGGGAAAACTGGACCAGGTGGGTGGGTTGGGAACCCCTGCAGTAGGGTGGCCACTTGTGCAACCCCAAAAAAGAGGAAGCACCAAAAATGAGAGAGGACATGCATCTGCATAAATGTATATATGCAGTTTTGTATTTATGCAGGTGTGTTTAGAAAGAATTTTCAGAAAGTGAGCCTGAGACCAGTATCCCTTCTCATTGCCTGGGTGCAGCTTGATGGGCCATTTCAAAGGCAGCTCTTCCTGCTTTCTGATGCTTCCTTATCTTTAAACTGGGTGCCTTTTAAGCAGAGGACAGTCCTCCGGAAGCCCTTCTAATCCTTTTAAAGGAAGACGTGCCCTTGGAACAGCATAGAAGTTGGGGGAGATTTGCAAATGGGAAGTCGAGAAATATTTCCCTGAGAACCCTGCAGAGTTTGACTTTCATCGTCCGTCCGTGTGTCCTTTATTCTTACTGAAAGGTTTTCCCTCCTTGCAGTCCCTGGGATACAAAGTTTGCTGCCCTTGACGGGAATGTCACCAGGGCAGAATTCCACTCTCCCTCCATATTCCCCATTCCACTCTAGCCTCGTGTGCCCCCCCCATCTGGCCTAGAGGGCTGAAGGGCCATCTGGAAGGGAGTGAGGGCAGGAGGAAGGCAAAAATGGTTCACTCTTTGCAGCACGACGATCCTTCTCCAGATGGCTGTCTCACTGGCAAAAGTGGGGAGCCTTAACTGCACGTTAGTTAAGGATCCAAGCCAGTGTCCTCCAAGAATGCCTGCTCCCGTATTCCAAGGTCACCGGCTGATGTCCTTCTCAGGGTGCTCCCTTCGTCAGAAGCAAAGCAGGTACCAGCCAGTGAGAGGGCCTGGGGAGACCCCCCCGCCCCCGAAGGAAAATTGACCAGGGCTCCTTTGTTATTGCTTTATTGCTCCAGACACTTTGCTTGCCCAGATGTTTAAGGATTTTGTTTTTAATGGACCTCTGTATGCTGCCACATGTTTCTTTTTTCTTTTTTCAGATGTAGCTATTTTTTAAAAGCTGAGTTTTTCTGTAATTGGAAATGTCCTTGACAGAAAAATGACATAGGTCAACATATGCATGCAATAAATGCAATGTATGCATTCGAAAATGCATACACAAAGTAAAAAAATAAGCTTGGCTAGTGTCCAGCAGTGGCGGCTTGTAGGGCCTGAAGCAACAGGCTGTACCCCCGGCACAAACCTGCTTTTCTGCCCCCCACCATGGCAACCTGTGCCCGCCACCCCGTCCTGCTTCCCCTTGCTCAGTCTGCAATGTCCCCTCTCCTCAGATTACTCCTGTGCGTTGCAGCGCGACATCTTGCTCCAAGGGCGGCTCTACCTGTCAGAGAACTGGATCTGCTTTTACAGCAATATCTTCCGCTGGGAGACCACGGTGAGCGCCCCCGCAGGGTCCCGGGCCGGGCAGAAGGCACGCGCCTGTGCTCGGCTCTTCTCCCGAGGTCACTGATCTTTCTGTCCCGCAACAGATCTCCATCCAGCTGAAGGACGTGAAATGCCTCAAGAAGGAGAAGACGGCCAAGCTGATCCCCAATGCAATTCAGATTTGCACTGAGACCGAGAAGGTGAGGTGGCGAGTCCTGTCGGGCCTGCTGCTGCACGCACATTCTAGTTTCTTTTTTAAGATAATCTCTATTTTCCTAACATGGGCAAATACATAAAAGAGAGGGTGAAACAAAGTAAACTAAAATGAATGGAGCAAGCTAAAACAAACAAAGTAAACCAAGTTACCAGGGGAATTTTAAACAAATACAACCTATACGTTCAGTCCCCCAAATCTATCGAACTTCCTGTCTTTCAACACTCGAGAATTTAACAGAAAAGGGAAGCGATGGACATCACAGGTGGGACCTTCCTGTTGCATCATTTGGCCCACTCCGCCATTGAGAGATGTCCTGCCCGTGAAGTCGGAACTCAGCGCATCCCTGGTCCAGCCCGTGCCCTGCTCCTTGTCCGCCACATGACCACTGTGGGGGCTTTTCACACCCTTAGCCACAAGCTTCCTTGCAAAGTTTCTGATGTGCAGCTGCCTCTTGGTAGCTGCTTGCCAAGACTCCTGTGCAGCTGCATGAGGAGCAAGCACTCTCTCCTGCCCTCCTTCCCTGTGCATGTGCAGAGTGTGAATATCCTCACAGCAGATCTGGTCATCACCACACCGGGGTGTTCTGTTTCCTGCTTGCCCTTGTCGCCCAGCCTGTGTTCAGCAGGGGGTGCCCCACACAGGAGCACCCCGATATGCACTGCTAATTGCTCTCTCTGTGCCAAACATACTCACTATTCGGAAAGAAGGTGAGTGTTGGGACTGAAAGAGGCAGTTGTGCTTGGCACGAGGTTCAAGGTCAGGAAGATCTGGACTCTTCCAATGGGGAGGATGGGCTCTGGGGAACTGGACTTCCAGCTATCAGGATGGGGGAAGCAGAGGGGCTGATCTTAAGGCTGTCCCCTCCAGGTGTCTGAGAACAGCAGCTGGGAGGGGTGTGGGACAGGACCTCCAGCAGCCAGCTAAGCCTTTTACAGCTTGCAACCCGGGACGTGGTGTTGTGAGGGAAGGGCTTGCTAGCTGGAGGGGTGGGGTACAGAGAAGAGGCTTGCCTGCCTTTAAAAGGGCCCTCTCAGAGGGAGGGGGGCCAAGATTGCTCAAAAGAAGGGTTCTCAGAAGTAGTTCCTAGATCGGGTCCAGTGAACTGCTCTGCACGTGCTCAGAGACTCATTATGTGGTGATTGGGCTCACTGGATGTGCTTTGGAGAATAAAGAGCTTTTGCCGAGAAACCTCTGTTGAAGGGAAAGCCTAGCTCCCGACAGTGAGCAAGCAAGCTTTGCCCTTTGCCTCTCCCACAGACCAGCGTTATTGCTTGGTTCTCCCCTCCCCCAGTTCCCATTCTCCCCACCCCAGCCTGTCTCTCGGCTAAAGTTCCTCAGTGCCTGGGCAATCTCCTCTGAGCAGAGATTCCTCTGCAGGCGGAGCGAGCGGCATTAATCTTTCCAGGTGCCTCCTCCCCCTGCTGACCTTGATCCCAGCCAGAGGTACAGCGTCCTGCAAAGGAGGAAGTATATGGAGCAGATAACAAGCAAGGGAGGCCTGGGTGTGCATGAACTCAAAGTGGTGCATGTGGAACTAGGGGTGCCTTAACAGCATTCAGTCATCCCTCTCCTACCTGGCTCTCTCTGCCTGGATCCCTGTTTTTGCATTTGGCAGATGTCTGGCTTTTACCCTTCATTAGCAGCCATTGGTCGACAGCCAGTGGGATGCAGCCATTCCCGTGTGGCTCTGGGATAACATTTCCCCCCACACCGTAGCCCCTTCAGTCATGCAGAAGCTGGTCTCCACAAGGTCCCTTTTTATTCAAAGAGGGTCTTCTGGCTTATTCTTCTTTGGGCTCAGAAACCTCCAGCCGCATGCATAGCCCAGAGCTCCTCATGTGTGACTGAAGGGGCGGTGGAGCCGTGGTTCTGGCCTCACCTCTGGCAAGGAGTAGCTCCCCATCCGTGCACTGGCACGGTGCAAAAAGACCTCCCTACCTGCATGGAGAACTATGTACTGAAGCCCGCTCACGACTGACATCCACCCTCGCAGGTGGCAGTGTTCCCAGGAACGCTTGATGCAAGCCATGTTCCCAGGAGTCATCCAGAGCATGGACTGCCTTCCAGCAAGGAGGAAAAAGAATGTGTGGAGCTCTGTTAATCAAAATCCCGCTTTTTCTGCACTGGTCTGTGTGAGCCACCAAACAGCTACATTCAGACAACACGGCGAGCCAACCTAGTTTATAAGCCGTGGGTTATTTAGTCGTGCTAACTCAGTCTTTCTATGTATCCAGGAAGTCAGAGCCCACACACAGCCTACAGGTAGACGCTGCTAATTCTAATCAGGATAAGAGTTACCGTGGAGAAAGACTCATTTGCTCTTCTCGTTTGCCATTCCCAGCATTTCTTCACATCCTTTGGTGCCCGCGACCGTTGCTTCTTGCTGATCTTCCGCCTCTGGCAGAACGCACTCCTGGAAAAGGTAGGAAAGGACACGGAGGAGATGAAGAGGAGGAGCAGACCAGGGCAGGGCATCTTGTAGCTTCAGTCCCATTCAGGTTGTGTCTGTGTTTCAGGAGGTTTCAGTAGGGTGTCTGACTTGAGACTTTTCTGTGTGTGTGAAAGAGAAGCTGGTATTGGATGTTGGATTCTAGAGTGGTGGGTGAGTTTGTGTGTACATCAGGAGTCCAGAACCTCAAAACTGGGATCTCAGTCCAGCTCTCCTGGACAGCTGTGCCATCTTTCCCAAGACCTACCCCAGCCTGTGTTCCCCAACCACTGATTGGCAGTTTCCCAGCTTTTATGGTGTTTTGCTCCCTTGCTAAAAAGGTAAAAAATGTTTCTCCCAGTGACTTAGTTACTGGCAGTTAAGAGCTTTCATCTAAACTGTGCCGGTATGTTTTGCATTTTGGCCCCTTTGCCTCCAGCCCTTCTCATCCCTTGAATGCAGCTCTTGAAAGCTGTTCTGAACTGGAATTTGACCTTTGGCCTGAAAGGAGCTCTGCACCCCGGCGTATGTGTGCCTGTGGCTCAGGATCAGCCCAGACTCTTTTCTTGTGATCTTCCTGGCTCCTCAGCTGGGGGGGCTTCATCCCTGCCTTATTCTGTTGCTGTTCTTCTCCATCCCTCCCCTCCCTAGACATTGTCTCCCCGAGAGCTCTGGCTCATTGTCCACCAATGCTACGGCTCTGAACTTGGCCTCACCAGCGAGGACGACGATTACGTCTCTCCTATTGACGAGATCAATGGCTTGGGGTGAGCACAAACTTCCCTGCAGACACCCCAATACCGTGCTGAGGCCACGCTGCAGACATAAAAGGGGCCATAGGGATGTGTGGAGGTGCATTTTACTCAGTCGGACCATGAACATTCTCGTATCCAGGACCAGGCTCAGACGAGGGTTGCTCTTCTAGTTCTGCTTCCTCAGCTCCCCCGAGTGGAGACGCTCAAGACTGAGCCATTGACCCTAGAGAAGAGATACCCAGCTAGTACCAGGTGACTGGAGGGGGCATGATGCGTCATCTCACCTTGCACCGCATTTGAAGCAAGATGTGGCAAACGTCTCTGTTGGGGTTTATTGTGCAAAGCTTGCTCATGCCGGAGGGGTTGTGCCCCATGCCCACGCAGGCCTTGTGGCCCAATGGAGCTGATTCTGTGGTGCTCCGCAGGAAGTGCGCCTCACAGGGGTGACGATCAGTGCTGGCTGAAGCGCCTCTGCCAGGACTCGCCCGGGGCAGGGGCCAAGCACCTCAGACGGTGTGGGGGCCTATTTTGATGTTCCTGCCAGTTCTTCCTGCAGGCTGCTCACTTCCCAGAATCTGCTGGCAGGGAAAAATGGTGGTTTGCCACCGAAATGTGGCAGTAAACTGCTCAGCAGGGTCAAAATGGGCAAATGCAGCTGCTTTTATCTGTAGTGGCCTGGTCCCAAGCTTTGGTGTCAGCCCACCAGTGTTTTACTGGTTTGAATTTCGGCAGCTGGGGTGACAGGGCCATCTGTTGTCCATTCTTGACCAGGGGGGCTGCTTTGTGTGCTCCACCAGCTGCTTTGCGGGGTGTTTTGCCCTGTCACAAAAGATGTAGGATCGCAACTCTTGAACCGAGGGGTCTCCTGCAGGATACACCCCTGTTCCGTGGGACAGGATGCATTCTTGGGGCTGCACCCCTCCAATTTTTCATTGCTTGCTGGTGTCCAGCAAATGTTGATGTTTCTGGTCTACCACACGTCAAGAATTCAGGGATCAGCAGTGCTGGCTCAGCCAACCCAACATCTGCAATTGCTGTTAAGTTCATTGGGGACAGGATGCACTTCTAAATTCTCCCGTAGTTTTATAGGTGCCTTACTGGACTATGGGTTCGTTCTCATCCTCTCTGCTCCTTGTCTCCACCTTCTCCTGACTCTCGGTCCCAACAGAAGCCCCAAAGAGATTGGGGACGTCATTGATCTGAGCGACTTGACCTCCCGCTGCAGCGCAGACCTCAAGCTGGACTCCAGCCCCCTTCTGGACAAGAGGGACACCAGCCAGAGCATCCACTCACTGGCCAGCAGCAGTGATGGGACCACCTCGGTGCGGACAGTGGGCTTCCTGCAAAGGGTTTCAGTTCTGTGCAGGTCACCTCCCAAATTCTGCCCACCCAGGCATATGCCAAATACCCTGCATCTGGAATAAGCAACGCAAGCTAGGTTAATTTGCATAGGCTCTTTGTTCTGCATAACTTGTCTTCTTCCCTCCCGGGAACGTGAGTAGCTGTAACCCTGTTCAGTGGTGGCAAGCACAGGAGCAGGCTGTTGAAATGGCTTGGCAAGCTCACCTTTTTGAACAACCGCTTTAGGTATTCTGAAATGAGTACAATTGAAATGCTAAGTATTTCTACTTGGTATATATACAGTATAGTATATAATACACTAATTATACACTATACTATATAATTAGTATATAACGTACTATATAACTTAGTATAGTATATTGTACACTAATTGAAATGCTAAGGATACACCACACAGAGGGAGCATTACACTTACAATCATCCACAAAAAGAGAAACAAACACATTTCTCAATAAAATATAGCGTGTCTTTAGGTTGTTTTCTGTATCTGAAAGACATACAAACCTCAAAGCCATATAAAAGTGAAAAAGAGCTAAGTGAAGGAAAGTGGGAATTTTTTTCACTGTGTAAAATGACAATGAAAAGGAGTGCAAATTAATTTATATTGATGGATTTAGCTCACTTAATAAAAGCATTTTTCTCTGGCTGCCAAAACAGACACAAATTTCGATTCAGCTTTGAAGAACTGGAGTATTATTAGATTTCTAGCCTTGCAGGATTGCTTTTTTAGCAGCCAAAAAAAAGCCTAAAAGCTGTCTGTTTCTATAATTGTTGTGGTTACACAAGCTCTATGAACTTGGGAAATGTCCAAGAGTAACATCTCTTTCTAAACACTTTCTGCTAAAATGGCTTTATGACTCTGGGTTCTGACAATGTGCAAACAAGAGGTTGTTTGGGAAAATTCCCGATTAAAATGCAACCCTAAATATATCTCCTTAAAGGCAAGTCCCATTGAGCTCAAGGGCGCTTTCTCCCAGTTAAGCAGGTGTAGGAGTTCAGCCTTACACTGCACCAATACGTAGTCTTTCCCCTGCATAGGAACTGAATAGAGGATCCCCAAGAACTTCCAGGGTTCTGTGGGTGAAGCCATGGGAGTTTATCTGGAGGAAGACGGATGCATGATCGCAGTGTAAATGTGCGTTAAGCATTTTTGAGAATATGGCTGCAGTGTTACCAGGTGTTTTTCAGCTATCTTAGTCTATTTTGCCGTCAAGATATGTCTTAAAGATAACCGAAGTGTTGTTTCACGGACTGCAGTCCACTTTAGCAGATGCCACAGCAAATATGCTCTGTCTTTTTAGCAGTCCAGATATGTGTGTGCGTGTTTAAAAGAGCAAAAGAAAAAAGAATATCTGGATTCCATTTATTTATTGGGTGGAATGTGACCTGCAGCAGAAGTTCGTAGTGAGCAGTGCTCCAGATCCAGGTTTTAGCCAGCATTCCCCATTCCAGGAAATTTCACTCCTCTGCTCTTCCCCTGTTGCTGCTGCTGCTTCTTTCCCCTTCTTCCCCGTCGCAAGTGTCAGCCCGCATGCTGTGGCAACCAGCATGCCGGGCTGTTTGGTTCCTGCCTTCTAAGTGTTTTTGACATTTTTAATTGTACCGCTAACCCTGGAGCTTCCCCACGCTTGTAGATACCTCCCTCTTGTGTGTGGCCGGTGCTATTTTGGGTACATAAAGACGGGTACACAGAAGAAAAGTTCACTGTTAGAATATAGGATCACACAGGCCATGTTGGGTTTACACTTGTACAAAAGCCTAACCTTTGGGAGTACTAGTGGCCCTGTAGATGTTGTGGCTACAACACTCGTGATCCCTCAGGATTGGCTAAGCTGGCTCAGCTGACAGTTTTACATCTGGGGGGCCACAAGTTGCCCACACATGGAGTACAGGAAGGGAGGAGGAATCCAGGGGGAGAGGCGGAGGGGATCCAGACTGGGAAGAGAAGGATGAGCCTTAGAAATGTTCACAGAAAGAGGGTGGAATTGCCAATCAAGCAACAGTGGTAGGAAAGGAAGCTGAGGGATAAGAAAAGAGAGCTCAGTAAATAAAATATACCACATTCAATTGCATGTTATTTGTCAGATTCCATTTTCTACTGTTACCTATCAAAATACTCAATATGATAATCCACATTCAAGGGTTGAGCATAGGATGAGTGTGGGTTGTTGTTGAGCTGTGGTTTATTGTTTTGTCTGAACCCAGCTGTGCTAACAAACCATGGTTTGTTGTTAACTATGAAAAACCCACATATTGCAACTGAACAACAAACCATGGGCTCTTTCCTGGGATTTTCATGATGAATAAACCATGGTTTGCTAGCACAACTGGGTTCAGACAGAACAGTAACCCACAGTTCAACAATAACACATGGTTCAAGGGCAACCCATACTTGCTACATTGTCTGAACCTAGTCATGTCAAATGCTGGCTGCTATATTTTTAGATGCTTGGAGGCTGACGCTGGCTTTCCGGGGCTCATCAGAAGTTCTCCTGCCTAGATAATAGCTGGGAGAATATGTGCCATCCCAGTCTGCTGATGGGGGCAAACTCTGCTCAGCTGAAAGGTGAGGCTAATGCTGTCTGTTCACTTCGCTCCAGCTGGCAGAGGACCCAGACGAGAACACGGACAGCCAAGTGGATGCCTCGTCCAGCCACACCGTGACTTCAGCGGCTGAGCCTCCCCAGGACGATTTGTCGCATGGGACACCCATCTCCCCCCTGGAGGGGGAGCCCCTGCCCAGCGAGGAGCTGCCCACGGACATGAGCAATTCCTCCTCCTCCACACAGGATGAAGGTGAGGGTGGCCCCCGTCACGCTCCAAGCATCAGGCCGCCTCCCTCCCACGGCTTGGGCTCGAACCCGGGCGAGGTGCTCCGCACTCACCCGCCGTTCCGCTTCTCTCCTCCAGCTGAAGTGGACGCCTTCTTTTCGGACTTGCCAGGGCGGTTGCTCATTAACGCCGTCTATCACGTCGGGGCCGAGAAGCTGCAGCAGATGCTTTTCAGTGACTCTCAGTTCATACACGGCTTTTTGGACCAGCGGAAGTTCACAGGTAAGGGAGATGCCCACAGCCACCTCTGAGATTCAGGAAGAGTTCAGGCCAGCGTTTGTGTTGCAAAATGTGGAGATGCTGCTGATCCCCATCAGCTTGTGCCGCTTTGACCAAAACCTGCCTTGCATCCCACACATAGTTTCCCCCTGCAAACTCATTGTGATTTTTTTTTTTTTTGTAAGCATGTTAAGTGCAATTGCCAAAGGGGTTCTCACACCATCCCCTTTTCTTCTCCCCTTACCCCAGATGTCACTCTGACTTCATGGACTGGAGACAACAAGTGCCACCAAAGCCGGGTCATCTCTTACACCATCCCCATTAACAACCCGCTGGGCCCCAAGGTGGCAAGCGTTGTAGAGACGCAGGTGTGTTGAGGGCAGAATCTCAGCATCGGACATAGGGGTGGGAGAGGCCAGCGCCATTCGGGAGCGAGCCGGCTGGCCTTTCAGCACCCGCTCTCCTCGGAACTGTTGACCAAGTGATCCGATGGGCCTAAGAAGAGGAAATACTTGCAGGTGGCTTTGGGCAGCTGCGGGCGGTGATGACGCGTGGCGCTGGTCCTGTGCTTTAGTGCATAACTCCTCTCCTCTCCTCTCCCCTCCCTTCCACTCTCCTCTCCCTGCCTGATGGGCAGACGCTTTTCCGGGCCAGCTCCAAGAGCGGGGGCTGCGTGGTGGACTCCGAGGTGATCACGCAGGGCATCCCCTACCAGGACTACTTCTACACGGCACATCGGTACTGCATCACAGCACTGGCCAAGAGCAAGGCCCGGCTCAGGTACCGGCTGTTGCATCCCCACCTTGGCCCAGAAATGGGGAGGGGAGAGGGGGCTGGGGGCATTGCGCACTTGCCTCTTGGGCAAAGCCCTGTTTGTCTCCTGCAGCAAAACCTGCCAGGAGTCCTGTGAAGTCTTACAAATCGGCCTTGTTTTGCCTCCCGCACTGCTGGGGGCGGGGGCTGGCCGAGGCAGCGTCCCCCCTCTTGCAGCTCAGTGAGCAGCCTTCGGAGGGCACCGCGGCTGCTTCTAGCCACAGAGCGTGGCTTCCCCTCTTTCTCTGCCGCAGGCCCCCTGCCACAGTCTGCTGCTCACTGGAGCAGGAAGAGGCCTTTCAGTGGGGTGCGTTTCACTCCAAGGCATGTGCCAAGAGCAGGAGCTGCTGGCTGAGGCATCAACGCAGCTTTCTGGCCTGGCTCCCCTGCAGAGATTTGGGCATGTCAAGCCCAGCTGTTGGCCATGTGGCTGGGGCTGAAGGGAGCTGTAGCTGAGAATCTCAAGGGAGCCAGGTGGGAAGGCTGGGGGAAGGCCTCATGCACGGCTGGGGAGCTAGAAGACATCGTGGCCAAAGGAGCATCCCCAGCTCCTACACGTGCAGTGCAGTGGCAAAGTGGTTTTGCAGGAAGCAGTTGTGTTACAACGGGGAGCAGGGAGAGAGCCAAACCGACCTAACAAGCCACAAACCTTCCCCTTCGTACAGGTTGGCACTTTGTATCCTACACCTGTTCTGTACATTTTTATTGTGCCCACCTGTCTTAGTCTGACCCTGAGCAACTGTTGCATCTCGAGGGAGAACCCTGAAGGTCAGAGCAGCATCTCCGCTCTTGTAGCTCTGGAGGAAATGGCAGGGGGCGGCATCGATACGCAGCAGGCAGAATAAGCTCTGGGGGACTCATGAAGTTCTGGGCCGAGCATATGAAGAAACCCCCTGTCCCCCCACCCCTTCAGGCAACGGGCTTCCTCTGAGGGCACTTCCCCGGTATCCTCTGGGAGGGCACAGAGAGTCTTGGCCTGACCTGCCCGGACAACCTGTCCTTGTTGCAGAGTCTCCTCTGAAATCCGGTACCGGAAGCAGCCGTGGAACTTGGTGAAGGCGCTCATCGAAAAAAATGCTTGGAGTGGTGTGGAAGACTATTTCCAGCACTTGGGTAGGTGAAGGTGGGGCAGATCCACTGTGCCGCTCCCTGACCTGGAGCAGTGGGAGCCACAGGCTGCCCCCATGAAAAGGACTCTGGGATGACCTTTAGCAGTGCTTTTGAAGTATTGGTCTGTCCAAATACAGGGGGTGGGGTGGGTTTGGAGGAGGAGGAAAGGAGCATATACAGCAGCAGTGGGGAAACCTTTTCAGCCCCATGCCCAGATTCCATTTTGGGGGGCTCCTGGGACTGCATTCCAGGAGTGGGCAGATTCCAAGGCACAGAGGGCAAGGCGGGGGCCAGCCTTCCAAAAATGCAAGACCATTTCAGCTTGGAGCTTCGACTGCCAGTAACTCAACCTTAGGGGAGGCATGTTGCCTTCTAAACTGGAGGTGGGTATGGAACCGCACACAAACCAGGAAGCTGCCAAGCGGTCAGTGGTCCAGGGAAAGGGCGCTGCCCTTTGGAGAGATGGATCTGCCCCTGGGCCTGCGGGTCTGCACCCCTCCAATGCGTTGAGAGCGCCACCTCCACCCCACCCGCGGCCGGGCCCCACAGCTCCCCCTTGGCTCTTGCAGAACTGGCCCTGGGGCAGGCAGAGAAGGCCCTGCTGGAAGAGAGCTGCCACAGCAAGGAGCCGCGGGGGCTCCTGTCCGGGCTGCGGCGCAGAAAGCGCACCCTGAGCTGGAGAGCACCCCACGCGGAGCCCCCGATCCCCACGTTAGCGGACGGCGAGGGCTCCACCCGCACCCTTCGGCCCTCAGGTACGCCTCCTCCGGGGAAGGGGCAAGCCGCGGGTTCGTGTGGGAGGGCAGCCCCTCTGGTGGACGGGGAAGGTCCTTCCCGCAGCCCCTGACCGCTGGCGCCTCCTGTCTTGCAGGGAGCCTGACCTCACGGCTTTCGGAGCAGCTGTCGGAGCCAGCACAGGGCCCGGCCGTCTCCACCGTGATCCTCGTCATAAGCCTGGTGTAAGGACGCTGGGGACGGTGGGGGCGGGGGCTGGAGGTGATCCAGAGCCCGCTGGGAGTCGCTCTGTGCAGGCCTGCGCGGGCTTCCCCGGGGGGAATCGCTCTGCGTCTGATCGCCTCCACTTGCGCTGGAGGAGGCACACGTGGGCTTGCAACCGAAGGGAGGGCTTGGGGGTCCAAGGAAGGGCCAGTGCACTGAAGAACTGTGGGACACGGCGGGGCGCTGATCCTGGCTGCCCTCGCACGAGCAGCAGTGCTGCCATCTGTGGGGCAGAAGTGCAGTGCCCACTCTCTAGGGTGAGTAGGGGGACCCCCAAATCCAGTGGGGCTGGCTGGAAGTAACGTAGGTTGCCATCTAAAAATAAGCCCCCCAAAACTGGCGTCTAAAATTGACCATCTGCCTCCCTGCATTTGGAAGGAAAGACACACCAAGGGCCAAACTGCACCATCTATTAAAGGCGTAGCTGCCGTTGGGAAGATGGCTGGCACGCTTGCTTTTCGTCAGCCCACGTCATCCTGCGCAGGACCATGTCTGGATGCTGCACCCCCGTGCGTTTTCCCACCCTTTGCCGCACACCACTGGCTGCAGCTAGCGGGGGATACATACCTGTGGGGGAACCCTGAAATGTGACAGCCGAGCATGGCCATGCTTTTATTGGAGGAGGGGAGTGAGAGACCAAAGCATGCCGTTGCCATCTGGAAACATACTGTCGTCACACTGTTGCTCAGCATGTATTCTATCTAGCACATCTGGCCTGATGCAGTGTAGCAGGTACTGCTTTGCCTGGCAGTTCCTCCCGTGTGCCATGAAACGCGGGCTGGGAAGAGAACCGGTATTGTGATGGAGCACGTGGGAGATTCCACTTGAATGTCATGGGAGAGGAGGGTCTCTTTCCTAGACCCTGGGTAGCTGCTAGCAGTCCTCCTAAACAGTACTGGGGCTAGATTGGGATGGGCAACTTGTAGCCCTCCAGATGTTCTGGCCCACAATTCTCAGTGCGCCCCACCATTGGCTGTGCTGGCCGGGACTGATAGGAATTGTGGACCGAAACAGGGAAGGCCCTGCTTGCCGCACCCCTGGGCCAGGTGGACAAATCGCCCGTGTTCTTCGTGGCCGTCGATGGCTACAGGCCATGACTATTGTATCTCGCTCTCCGCGCTGAATACTAGTTGCTGTGGAACTTGAACGGAACTTGTGCTTGTGTCCACTTAGAGGCTCCTTACTGGGGGTTGCTGGTTGACCACTGGATGCTAGACTGGAGCAGCCTGGAGTCTGATCCAGCAGGCCCTTCTCATGTCCCCAAGGCCACTTCTGTCACTTCCTTCGCTTCCTTATGTCAGGCGGCAGTCAAGACCACAGAGGGGCAGAGGCAGCAACCAGGTTTACTTTAAAAGCAGAGAAAAGATTGTGGAGGGAGCCATTTTGGACAGGATCCCCTGCTTCGTTTGTGGGGTGGGGGGGAGGGTGGAACTATGACCAAAGCTTCACGCCTCTCTTTCTTTCCTTCTCCTGCTTCTGCCTCCGCACAGGATCTGTGTGAGGTATTGTATGCCATTTGTCACCCGCTGCCGACCTGGGCACCCTTGGGACCTCTGCCCTGCCCTGACCCCATTCTGTGCTGCTCCTGTCATTGGCTCAGATGCCTCCCTCCCTGCCTTGGTCACCTGCAGAACACATCCCCTCCCCCTCCCCTTCCTTCTCAACCAGTTACAAGCAGCTTATTAACCCAGTTTTAGTCTGGCTTGCTTTGCCGTCATGGTCTTTGCCATCCCAAGCATCTCCTCTCCCCCTTAGCCTATTGCTGATTTTCTGCCCCTGCTGCCCTCCACTTCCCCTCTTCCCCTTACTCTGCTCGCAATTCCCCTTAATGGTTGTCCTGTGTTCAAAAGCTGTGACAAGCACTGCAGTAAGAGAAAAACAAGCAAGAAAGTGCAACTCTCTTGCAGCCGGGTAGCTGGAATCCTTTATCCTGGCAGATTTTTAAACGTAAAAATTCTGCGTACGATTTCCTTTCCTTTCTGCTTCATTGAATCTACCATTTGGAGTCAGGGCGAGCGACAAATTGCTAGACGGAGTGCTAAAGTCCATTCTTCATGGGCCGGCTCACTCTGCCCCAATCTGCCCTTGTCCCTGTAGCTTTTGATGTTTCTCCCATCTCTGTCTGCAGTGCTCACAGTGTGAGCTGTTAGGGCTCGAAGCTTCCAGAAAGAAAGGCAGACAGAGTAACAAATGCCATATAAGTGCAAAGGTGTGGACCATGCAGAACTCAGCTCAGGTTAAATATAGCTGTCCTTTAGGTCTGGTCAGGTTCACGCATTGCATTTGCGATGCGACCCATGCCTTTTTGGCCTCTCGACAGTGGCACGGGGATACATTTGTGGCCACTAGAGCTGGGGGCCTGACTGTGCTCCCAGTCTTCTGGGGCATCCTTATTCCTGTGTTTATTCTTTTGAGATAATGTTCTCTGATGAACAGCTTGTGCCTGATAGTTCTCAGGAAGAGGTCAGATGTTTGCTTCATCCAGTCAGAGGAGTCTGCCCTAACTGGGCGGAGGGGAATCATACCTTGTCCTTTTAATGTGAGGTGTGTATATGTGTGCACAGAAGCTGAAAATTTTGGTGCTTTCCCAGGGCAGGATAGGACAGTGACACCACACAGCTGGGATCCAGGATTTCTGCCTGGGAAACATAGAAACAGAGCGAGTCAGAAGGGGCCTCCCCGGCCATCTAGTCTGACCTCCAGCACCAGCCGGCTCCGCTCACGACATGCCCACCATGTGGACGTCCAGTCTACCCTTGAACACCCTCACCGACGGGGCCTCAGCGACCTCCCGTGGAAGCCCATTCCACACCCTCGGGGTCCTGGCTGTCAGGAAGCGCTTCCTGGCTGCTGAGCATGCTGGGGAGGAGCCATAGCTTGGCCTGCAGAAGGCCACAGGGTCCATCCCCAGCACTTCCACAGAGAAGGACCAAGTAGCAGGTGATGGGAAAGAAGCCCTGCCTGAGAACTTGGAGAACTGCTGCTGGGTGATGCAGGCCTGCGCTCCCCAACCTGGTGCCCTCCAGATATGTTGGATTGCAACTTCCAGCATGCTGGCTGGGGCTGATGGAGACTGCTGTCGCTCCCTCCCCCCCCCTTCCTCCCCCTCTCCCTCCTTTTCTAATTATGGGTTGTTTAGGAAGTATCAAGCTTCCCTGACTTGCTGGATTGAAGGGGGGAGTTCCCAAGCCTTCTAACATGGGTCATAACCTTGTGCTATCCAGTCATTTGGTGGGACAATAAGATATCTTACAGCTGAACTCATAAAGAAAGAGATTTTACTGAAATCCAGTATAAGATAACAAAAAGGGGTTGTGGTTTGCTGGAAAATCAAACTCTGCTTTTGTAGGCAGCTGTAACCTACCCTTTGGAATGAAGGGAAAGAATGGCAACCCATAAATAATCCCCAAGTTTATTTTTTTTTTAATGTGGGTCCAGTAAAAAGTCCCAATGACTGCAGGCAAGATTCTCCTTGCATGAGGGAATCAAGGTAGCTCATTCATTTTAAAAGTATTAACCTTCTCTCATAAGCTCGGCATCAAGGGAGAGATTTTTCTAGGTTTGACATAACAGAAGAGCCAAACTTACTTTCTCTGGTTCTGAAATCTCTTTGGAGATTGTCAGCCTGAGGTGTGCCACTGGCTCCGACACCACGTAAATTGCTGCTTGGACATCTCTTTTGAGAAACCCATCTGTAATAGCCTTCAGTTCTGATTTTGCCCGATTTGCAGCATGCCCAGAAACTGACGGACTAGCTAGCTTTCTGCGTAGAAGGCTTGTTTTTAAAATATCAAGGGGACTTGGAAGGATGAGCTCTGCTGCCTCAGCCTGAAGTGGTACAAACCCAAATGGCTGCTTGACTTTCCAAACACTTTCTGCCTCTCTCTCCAGCCTGGTGGTTCTAGTCATCCTCAACATGATGCTGTTTTACCGGCTCTGGTCTCTGGAGCACACAGCCCGAACCTTCGAATCTTGGCAGGCATATGCCCTCTCCAACGGGTGAGAAACTGGACAGAGTGAACCTGTGATCGGTCCTCTCTTACCTTTGAAATTAGAAACATGAATTTTGTGGTGCCTACATTAAACTCATTGGAAGCACCCGGTCTGAAAGGGGTTGGGTGGGAGAGCAGGGTTGCTTGGAGGGCTGAGTTACAGTGCATGTCTACTCAATCCCCTGCAAGTCATTTGGAGTTACACCCAGGTAAGTCCCTACAGAACTGCAGCCTTGATGGCTCTCCCTCTGCGTGAGTGTGTACATATTCATGACATCAGAGACGCAAGTAATGGACGGCATACAAAGTTTATAAATAAATCAATGAATGTATGCACATTTTGATTCATTTGTTCATTTATGTCCTGCCTTGAAAGATAACATTTGTTCCGAGATGGGTGAAAGTAGATGTAGAGATATGAAGGCCCAGAAAAAATGGGGAACAGCAAAAACAAAACAAAAAAGAAAAGAGAGAGAAATACCATTTACACCATGCGTTTGGACAGGTCTTTTTTCTGCCTAAACCTGAGTAGGATCATGCCTTTTACTTTATTTAAACTTGTTGTTAAAGCTGCCGTGGGAACCTGTCCAGAAGCATGGGATACATTTTAAAAATAAAAACAAGCAAACATTTTTAGTATTTTTCAGATGTGTCCAGAAAAGAGCTGCACTTTGTTCCAGCCCTCTAAGTTGGCAAAGCCAGATTTGTCCCTGTCTGAAATTAAAGTGCCACAATAACTGGAACATACATTTTAAAATGAATTTCTTATTTTATTTATACACTGTTAGCAAGGTTAATAAGCGATTTAATAAGCTGTGGGGACTGAAAGTCATTTCTGGCACCACTTCTGGGGACACACTCCATAAAGTGAGCTCTTGAATGAGCGGACTTTGGCTTCTCCTGGAAGCCCAGGCCATTTATGTATTCATTTTTATTGATTTATTTTTCTAAAATTTATAAACTGCTCATCTGCAAGGGATCCAAGGGCAGTGTATACAATATTAACAACAAACAAACCCCAAATAAAAAACATACAATTATATATAGAAAGACACATTAAAGCAGCAACTCTTCAACCTGCAAGCAAAACAAAAACAAAACAATAAATTCAGTTCAAAAATAAATGCAGAATGGTAGCTCTCAAACATGTTAAAATCCTTGGGCAAAAAGAAATGCTTCGATTTGGCAGTGAAGAGTAAACAAAACCAGTGCCAATCTTACCTTCTTGAAAAGAGTTCCTAAATCAAGGTGCCACCATCAAAAAAGTCATTTCTTTTGTAAAGGAAGGTATATTACTTCCATGGATAGTAAAGGTCTTCCGAAGATCTTAGTGCCTGGGCAGGATAGTTTGAGAGAAGGTGGTCCTTTCAGGTATTTGGCTCCCAGGTTGTTAAGATGCTAAAGGTGATAACCAGCACTTTAAATTGGGCTCAGTAGTGAACAGGAAGCTGCTGTAACTCCTTAAAATATGATGTGATGTGTCTCCTTTAAGATGAAGCAGTCAACAGTTTGGTTGCTGAATCTTGCACAAAGTGTACCTCCGGGACAGTTTTCCAGAGCAGACCTGTGTATAATGCATTACGGGAGTCTAGTCAGATATTCCCAGAGCGCGAATGACATTGTCATACTTGAGAGAGAGAGAGAAGTCAGGATAGAGATGGCAAGGAAGGGTTGTGAAATGCGGAATTTCCTGAAGGTACCCATTCTAGCCCTTTTCTGTTGCAGTGCCCCCAACTCTGAAATCCTCCCCACAAAGCACCTTGTTTAGCCCCTTTCTGCAGTCACTAAAGCAGTCAGCTTTGGGATGCTGTAGCCGTTTTATCTGCTATAATTTTTGAGTTCTGTTTATCTGCTCCTGTTGTTTTTAGCTGATGGCTTTATCCAATTGATCTATTTGTACTGTTTTAATATTTCCTGCTGTTGTTCCTGTGTGTACTTTAGTTTTGGGAGGGATTTTTGTTGGCTTTTGTAAACTGCCTTGGGAAGAGAATTTATCTTGAAAGGTGGCTTTAAAATCTGTGAAATCAAGAAATGGTGAAGTTGGCTGGTAGCTGCTCGGGGAACACGGGGTGGAGACGAGGGAGCGATAGGAAACAGTTCCTGCCTGCTTGCGCTCAAAGTGCTCTTCCTTCTCCCTAGCAGAAAGCTTCCACAGACAGCGTCTGAATGGGCTGAGATCCTGGAACTGCAGAAACGGTTCCACAGTGTGGAGGTGCAGAAGTGGAAACAGATTCTCAAGGCTTCAGTGGAGCTTCTAGATGAGGTGATTCCTGCAGTTCGGGGCAGTTGCAAGGGTCACCTGCCAAAGTGAATGCAAACCGGCGCAGAGAATGCAGACGTGGAGTGGTGCAGTGGAACCAGGGTTCAGTGGTGAATGGGGATGTGGTGCCAGCACTTCTTTTATTGGCAGGAACCTGACATCCCGACCCTGACCCTAGGACTGCCCTCCCAATTTCCTGTTCCCTCTGAGCTCACCTGCAATTCCCACAGTAGCTGAAGGGAAATGGTTGCAGGAATTGTTCCCCAGGCAAAATATCTGGGGGCAGCTTGGGGACCCAGGGAAATGTGTTCAATCTCCCCCATCCCATGCCAGTGGGATGGCACTGGTGGGTGGGGTGGGGGTCCGTGTTCTTCTGAGCTTACTCCCTGTGGTCCCCGGGAGAATGTGCCTCCCACGCTCCGTGCCTCCTGCAGGAAACAACTCTGGGATGCTTGCTGTACGTTAGCCTCTCAAGCCCATGCAGGGTGTGGGTAGGCAGTGCACAATGGGCAATGGGAACAGGCGGTACCTGCGAGTGCCACCTCCCCAGGCCCCAAGCGGCGAAGCTTATGGCGACCGCGTGTAAGAACTGTGGACAGTGTGCGGGTGGCCGTCATTGGCGCATGCCAAGAGCTTCATAGCCAGAGTGGCACAGAGATCGCCACATGCCTGTTCTGCCTAGGACCAAACGAGATTTGCTTTCTGGGTTTGGTCCACATGACAAAACAGGGAGGGTTGAGCAAACCCTACAAGCCACGGTTGGTCAGGGTGGTCTATAAGCCACACTGGCGCCCCTCTGACAGCACCATCCCAGGTCTGGACAGCATGCTAAGCCACTGTGGCTTTGAAGCATGGTAGCTTACAGTGTCATGTGAACCCAGCCAGTGTCTCACAGAGCAGAAGATGAGCCGATAGAAATCACCTATATGTTCTCAGTTCCGGGAGGGGCATGGGTTTCCCCACAGGGTATGAAGCCAAGGCTGCATGTATCCTGTATAAAAAAATTGCACCAAAGTGACCTAATCTGGGGGCAACGCATAGTCATGGACTGTAGAACCTATTGATCAGCAGTCGCTTTTCGTTTTCCTTTTCGCAAAGCGCGTATCCCAGTTCTGCTAGTTTTGGGCCTGTGTGATGCAGGGAAGGAGAGCTTTGCCCCTCAGTCCCATGCTATTCCCCTTGCCCAAATTTCAGCTGACATTGACCCCAGATTTTTGCACTCATCCTTATAATTTTCAGGGCTAGCTAAAGATTTCTTTTTCAGGATGGAAAGGAAAGGCTGCCAGGTCCTGGTATGCAGCATGCAGGTCCTCCTTTGTGCTGGTGTGGGCTCAGCATAGGACCAAACGAGATGTGACCCAGCGCATCGTGCATAGGATCACCTGAGGGGGTTGCTCTCTCCCTTTTAAAGAACAAGCAAACAAGCAAGCAAACACCCCAAACCTGAACAGATATGGGGCAAGGGGGAGGAAAGATTTGGCTTGCCTTTACTGGTCCTTGCCTTCACCACACCACCAGAATGTCCCACAATGGGAAAAATATCATTCATATCACTCTAGAGTTGTAAGTAGATCAAACTTACCATGTTCTCAGGCAAAATTTGACCTTTTTACCTCTCCATAGCCGCTTCTAAATGTCAAAAAGGTGAAATTTAGCTTGATAACAAGTGCAATGTGGCTTCCCACTTGCTAGAGGTGCTCAGTGGCACTCAGCCAGCTTGCTTTTCAGCACCACTTGGAGTTTGCAGTGTCCTGCAGAATTCACACGGGCGCAGAGGAATCTGGGGGAGGGGCGCTGGACCTGAGCCACTACAGTTGTCCTCCGCTGTCCTAAGCCTTCTCCTCTGAGGTCACCTGTCCCCACTGAAATCTTTCTCGTTGTGGCTGTGGGGACATGTGTCAGCACTGCAGCCTAGCAAACCCCACCCGGCCCTTCTAGTGCCCCCTCCAGGCCTGCCTGCTGGTTACAACACCTGCCTTGGTGCAATAACACTGGCCTTTTTCCCCCAGATGAAGATTTCCCTGGAGAAGCTGCACCAGGGCATCACCGTGGCCGAGCCCTCCTTGGAGCCCGAGTGACCCTCCCGCACTGCCCCCTTGAGGATGGCGCTGGGCCTCGGGAGAAGATTCCCAACCCATCTCCGAATCTGCTGCTGGATCGGTGGCACCCAGACTGCCTGGGTGTGTTTGTGAGGGCGGGATGGGCCAGACACCGCCACACACCTTGCCAGATTGTCACCTGGACCTTACTTTCAAGAGTGCCACGAACCGCGATGAATGCCTCCCTCCCCACTTCCTGCTTTGGGGTTCCTTTGACCTGAAGCACCTTCCTTCTGCCTCTGCCTCTCTCTCTTTCTCTCTCTGAGGGTCCTTGCAGTGACTTCAGTTTATCCCTTCCCCATTTAAGTGCTATTTATATTCCCCAAAGGACCCCAGAGAGCCTTCCACTTCTAGTGCCCCGACACCCTCTTTTCTTTCCGACTGCTGTCTGGGGGAGGGCAGGCTCGCTCTTTTAAAGTTTTGTTGGGGGGAGGGGATTTAGAGGCTGGACTCTCTAACCAGCAATTGTTGGTGGGGTGGGGTGGGGTGGGGGGGTTGGTGTAAAAGGCGGGCTCTTTCTTTGCAGCCGCTGTTTTGGGGGAGATTTAGAGATGGACTCCGGAGCCCGTCCCAGCATTGAGCTTTCTCCCAACAGCTGAGGCACTGATGTCCATTTTCCTCCCTCTTGGAGGACAGCCAAGATCCCGGATTGCCTTTCCCCTCACTGATGTGCCGGCAGTTGGGAGAAGGGAAACCCGCGTCCCCCCAGTGCGCGTCTTCCCAGGCTTCCCCTCCGTGCGCCCTGTCCGCTTCCTTGGGAGGGCCTGGTCGCTTTGTTAAAGGGATACCCTGAAGACAAAATGGGGGAAAATTACACATGGCCGAATGCCAGAGACCACGACTGAAGTGCTTCTCGCAGGAGTTGGCACAGGGCATGGTCAAAGAAGGGATTTAGCTGGCGGGGGCAGGGGGGCTGTCTCCAGCACGCTGCACCCACAAGCTGCTCTGGTGAGGCTGGTCCCGGCACTTCCGTAGGGGGTGGGAGTGGGGCAGTGGTGGCACTGAACCCAGCTCTCCCCCAAGGGGGCTGTGCTTATCATGGGACCTGCTGTGCCCCTTGTCCTGGTTGCGCACAAATAGCTGGGCGGAGCTTTTGGGGAAGGGGAGGTCTGCCGAGACCTCCAGGCACAGCACGGTGGATCAGCGTCTTGGCAGATCTTCTTGCTCCCATTCCAGGAGATCCCTGCATTAATTCCGAACGGCCTGGTCCTTCCTAGGCCTGTTCCCCAGGCAACAGATGGCCTCGTCTTCCTGACGCAGAGCTGTCCTGTCACTTTAAAGTGAGGTTTCACTGCCAGTCGGGGCCCAGGTGCCCCCCAGATACTGCCTGAGGGGGTTGAAATCTGCCCCCTCCTGGGGAGGGGTGTGTGTCTGCCAGTCCACTGTTCTCTGTCCCCGAGAGCTCTGGAGGCCCAGGTTTCTGACCCCCCTTCCCCCCTCCCTGCATCAAGTTTTTGGGCTGTGGGGGCGGGGGGGGGCATCCTTCCAGTTTTGTAGCTGTGTTCAGTGTTAACGATCCTGTGTCAGAGGTGCTGGGGCTTATTTATTAAGGAGCAGAATAAAGACTCTGGATCGGAACTGGTGGTGTGCTCATTCTGGAAAAATTACAGACACACAACCCCCCCCCCCCTGAAGGTACTTTTGTCTTGGATCTCCACTGCTCCTATACCATGTCCCATATGGTATCATTACCTCCATGTTTGAGCATATACAGAGTGCCTTTGACAGGAATACTGGGGAACTCCAGCCTTCCTGATCTTGGAAGGATCCTCGAAGGAGTAGGGCTTTCATAAAGGTCTGAGTTTTGGTTCCTCGCTGGGTGTGGGGGGATTAAGTTCTGGTGCTGGCAGCATTCTCAAAATACGGTCCATAAGAATGTTGGAAGCTTTCGAAGGTTCCTTGTGGAGGCCATTCCACACCAGTGCTGATCTCTGCTATGGTGGTACAGAAAACCCATCGAACAAGCTGCTGTTGCTTTGTGTGGCTTCTCAAGACAAAGCTTACCATGATGAAATACCATCACTGGGTTCAGACAACACAACAGACCAATAGTGGGAAAAACCACTATGGCTTGTAGTGTCTGAACCCAAACATGGTAGACAAGCCCTCAGTCTATCCAGCCCAGTGCTGGTGCGAATGATGCTGCATTGGCTGTCCTGGAGATGCTGGGACTGAATCTGAGACCTGCTTGCAAAGCAGGGGCTCTACCCGAGGTACCGATGCCCCCCAGGACAGCTGGCCACTGCTACCCACTGCCTCCAACCATCCAAAAGAAGAAAGATAGTGCTGGGTATTTTCTGAGCTATTTTTGTTCACATTTTTATATCACAATAAAAAAGCAAATATTTTGCCCTATAATGCAACACACTCAGGATAGCTTAATATATACACTCCCCTTTTATCTTTAACCATCCAGTGTTTAAAATACCAACCTTCCAGAAACACGATTTGTTAAATGATGGACAAAGCAGCACCTAAAAGGATAGAAATTACACAAGAAGCTGTAAGCAGCAGCCCAAAAGAGGACTAACCATTAAACACCAAAGTAAGAAAAACGGTCTTGTCCTGATGTTTAAATTTGGCAGACTAAAGGGCTATGTTGAGAACCCCGAGGACAGCATTCCAAAGACAGTTCCACAATGAAGAAGGCTCTTTGCCTGGTCATTCTCCACTGATCTTTTTGTGGTAGGAGTGCTGGAAAAGGGGTAAAGGCAAGCAGGTTCACCCAGAAAGGTGATGCTTTTGACACAGCTAGTGGTTAAGGCTCCAACGGATGAGTACATGTCCTAGATTAGAACACGTTGGTGCATCCTCTGGGACAGGACGGAGCAGACTTTGGGCATGTAGGATCAACTTGGTTTTGTTCTGAGAAGTACCCAGTGATCCTCCAGCTAAAGATGGGTGCAAATTAGAACCTCAGGTGACAATCCCCCACCTACCACCCCAGTAACTCCATCTGACCACCACCTCCTCTACCGTCCCCTCCTTTTGCCATCAATCATTCCCAGCATCAGGGTCTTCTCCAGTGGGTCCTTCCTTCTCATGAGGTGGCCAAAGTATTTGAGTTTCATCTTTAGCATCTGGACTTCTAAAGAGCAGTCTGGCTTGATTTCCTTTAAGATTGACTGGTTTGGTCTCTCTGCAGTCCAAGAGGGACTCTCGGGAGTCTCCTCCAGCACCACGATTCAAAGGCCTCGATTCTTCGGCACTCAGCCTTCCTTATGGTCCAGCTTTCACAGTCATACATTGCAACTGGGAAAACCATAGATTTGACTATATGAACTTTTGTTGGCAGGGTGATGTCTCTTCTTTTTAGAATGCTGTCTAGATTAGCCATAGCTTTCTTCTCAAGGAGCAAGCATCTTTTAATTTATTGGCTGAAGTCACCATCTGTGGTGATCTTGAAGCCCAGGAAAATCTGTCACTACCTCCATTTCCCCCCATCTATTTGCCAGGAAGTGATAGGTTGGCCACCTGCACTTTTCATAGTGGTGTCAGAGATGGAATTTTCGTAGGTTTATCAGATCAGCAGGGATTTTCCACTGCAGGACCCGGTCCTCTCTTGCATCTGGCCACCCTCTTTAACAAAAACCATCCCAACATGTGGGTTGCAGGTCTGCTCCTCCAAAGCACTGGAGGCTGCCTCAACTGCCTGCTTCTCTCCACTCTTTGGCTGCCTCCAGAAAATGAAAGAGGGAATCATTTGAAGAGATACATAATTAAATGATTTTGTGCTTCGTAGGCTTCACATTCCCCACAGGCCACTGCACGCAGCTCCCTTAAAATGCCCATTGGCTGCAGCATGGTGAATCTTTTAGTAGCTTTTTCTGTGCCCTGCACACAGGCAGAAGATGGGAACATGGTGGTGCTCACTTCTGGGTCAGGCACGCTTTCTCTCCCACTTCATGGAAGCCAATAACTGAAACCAGAGCCAAGGACTTTCAGAAATTGGTGCTCCAAGGCAACTAGTGGGGCGAGACTCAAGAAAGGAGTCTGGGGGGCAGAGGAGGCAGGTGAGGTTATCTCATTGTTAGCAGAAGGGGCACCGATGTAAGAGAAGCATCTTCGTGGCCAAAGGCCTTTGCAAAAATTCAGACACACTCAGAACTACACATGGCAAAAAGTCACATTTTCAATAAAGTTACTAGAAATTCTCTAGCTGTAAAACAGTGAGAACCAAACAAGCAGTAAAACAAAGCCCAAGAGAAATAACAAGAGCAATAAGGTAAAGTAAAATAGTATAAGAGCAGCATTTGTAGATTCTTTGATGCAATGGTCATTTAAGTGACCCATCCAGTAGGCATGTTTGCAAGTCAGGCGAAGCCAACCTGCAAATGAGCCATGGGACATTTGTTTGAACAATCCACAGTGTGCCTGACAGCCGACAGGGCTCACTGTGGGTTGTACCCTACTCCATCACCCTCAGTCCTCCAGTAGGTACCCTAGAGAACTTGGGGGCTGAAACTGTCTTGTCTTCTCTCTCTATTTTTGGGTCATTGTTGCAGCTGTTTTCCCCTTTGACAGCCCCTCCAAAGTGCCCAAGCAGCACTTGGAACAGATGTCACTGGTTCACCACACCATCACCATCATTTTAGGTGCCAAAAAAATGTATACAAATATTTTCATTTATTTTAAAAAAAAACTGTATTTCACAGTTGCACTGACACATACTTGCAGGTAGCCGAAAAGAAAGGTATTGCTTGTCCCGTTCATCACAGTAAAGTGTCTGCTGTCAAATGCAGTAGTGATCAGCCATGATTGTAAAGCAAGCCAGGTTGCAAAGAGGTTGTTTGGATACTTGGCTCTTCACTTAACAGCTTTGAAGTGGTGAGCTGTCAAGCTCTTCACTTGCTAAACAAGATGGTGACTATATCACCTCCTTTGCAGGGAGTTCCTCTAGTTTTTAAGTGTAGACTTGCTAGTTTTCAAGGTCCTCCGGTTTTCCATGCTTTTCCAACACGCCAGCTGCTCAGGAAAAGGGGAAGTGCACCCCCCTTTTAGGGGTGATTGAGTCTGGCGCCTATCCAAAGAAAGGGCTTATTTTAAGATAGGATTGTTCATAGGACTAACTGTGGGGTGGAAGTCAAATATGAAACCAGTGAGTTTATAGGTAAGACGAGCAAGGACTTTCTGGTGCACCTCCTATGCTCTGAACTGCTGCATCACACCTGCTCTCCGTTGAACCAGACCTAAAGGGCATGAGTGAAGCAAGCTGCCTTTGGCCTTGATCAGGCAATGTGTCCATCTTGGTCAGCACAGCTGAGTCTGACTCTCCGGGTCCCAGGCAGAGGTCTTCTTCCCCCTCCCTGGCTGACGCTTGATCCTTTCCCTCGAGGGCTGAACCAGGCGCTTTCGGCATGCCACGCGTACCACTCCGCCAGTTCTCCACATTCCTTGCACAGGAGCACGTGTGTCCCTTATGTGCTATGTACCTCTCACCGGTTCGTCAGAGAACCAAGGGCACAGAGAGATGGCTCCGCAGGGAGAGCCCGGTGAGGAAGCCATGTGGCTCCATCCATCAGCCTTCCAGCCTAAGCAGCAGAGCAAGGAGGAAGCAGTTGACATTCCCCTGCATCGGCCAGAGAAGGCATGGCTGCAGGAAGCTTTCTTGCCAGAAGGAACACTGGTAAGGACTCTGAAAAGATGGGCTGGTGCCAGAGCTTTCCCTCCACTTTCCCAGTCCCTTTTTCTTGTGTATCCCATCTCTTAGATGTTAAGCCAGAAGGCAGTCTAATTATTAAGCTCTGTAGGCTTCTCTGTGAGCCTTCCTTTCTTTGGCTGTCCCTATTTTGGTCTTTCTAGGAGCTGTTCGGATGCCTCTTTAAAACATAAGCATGTACATCACAGGCAACCTGGAAACACATGCAGACAAGCGAGTGGCTGGCCAAGGATGGGTCAGTTTCCACCCTCTCCTACAAATAGCAGGGAAATCAGGTGGGCTGCCAACAAAGAGAAACACTTTCCCTCAACCCCATGCAAGAAATACAGAAGACTGCCAGGACTGGGGAGCATGGAACTACCGGATCATTTGTTTTTTTATTGCAGCTTGAACCCGGGCCCTTCTGCAGGCACCACAAGTGCACTACCCTGAGCAATGGTCCTCTGATCTCCCAGAAAATTGCTCCAGCTCTGACAAGACAGGATGGCTTCTTTATAGGGTTCAGGTGCCACTAAAATTCATGCATGTCCTTGCACGGCTTATCGGAGTGGTGTCACACCAGAGAACTGGATGGAGCTGGGGTGCAGCCAGCAGAGAGCTTTGAAAGCTCACAATAGGGCATACAAAAGTGGACCCACAGGGCACAGGAGCAGAATGATTTCCACCATGCACATCTGTGTGTGCATGTGTGCGCATTTGTGCACATTAGCCTTACAAAACCAAAGGGCAGACAGCCTGCTATGGGAACCTGGGATGTATCCTTACTAGCTGCATCTGATGACGTGAACAGCATCAACGAAAGCTCACAGCAAAATGAATTTGTCAGTCTTTAAGGTGCCCGAAGGCCCTTTGTTGTTAGTCTGCAACAAACTAACACAGCTGTTGCAGCAAGGAAGGAAGAATGTGTATTTATTATTCTGTGTGTATTTTATTTACATCCCACCGTTCTGCCAAAACAAATCCAAGTTAAAAACAAACAAAGCAAAACTTAATTAATACATTATTGAAGCTAATGCATTAAAAACACCAGACCAGAAATAAATTTCAACAAGCGATTAAAACTAGGAGATTCTGGGTCTGCAATTAGAGAATTCCCTGGGAGAGGCAGACAGGGAGAGGCAGAAGACAAGCAGTGGGAAGGGAAAGAGCGTTTCTGCTGAACAGACAAGGTGCATCCTCACTGTCTTCTCCCACTAGGCTTGGGTAACGGCCACCTTGTGGTGAATACCTGCACAGATTAGAATTCACACTTATTGGCCTGCACTTAGCAGGTTGGACTATTCGCCTCGCCTTTCCCAGCTTGGGTTGGGGCCTCCCAGATGTTTTAGACTGTGGCTCCCATCATCACTGGCAACTGTCTGGGGCTGATGAAGGCTGTGGTCCAAAGCATCCAGGGGGCAACTCATGGAAGAAGGCTGATCCTGACCCGAGATGGCTTGTTGGGACTAGCAACATCTAGCATGAGAACTTAAGAGCCCTGCCAGATCAGACCACGGGGGCAGCGGCTCCACCATCCATTCGCACCGTGACTGCAACAGCCTCTTCTTCTCCATCTTCCCCAGCAACTGATCTACACAGGCACTCTGACACTGCAGGTGCAGACACCTGTTAGGACGAGTAACCACTGATGGCTCAGCCCTCCGTGCATTTGCCCCAATCCGTGGGCAGGGCCTTAGAAAGGAAAGGGCCATTTTCTGTCATCTGCGCCCTGACCCTTGGAGAGAACAGGGACCGAATTGCAGACCTTTTGCACGCACTGCCACTGAACTAGGGCATTCCCCATTGGAGGGGTACAAGGGAGGGGATGCAGGCTGTCCGTTTTTCCAGACGTGTGTAGGATCGCACCTTTAAATGCACCCTTAAATGTCGTATTATGCAGACAGTCTCACTGGAAGAATTAAAGAGAAGGCATATATTTTCCATATTGTTTAAATATAAGAAAGGAGCAGGGAACCCGTGTGGTGTAGTGGTTAAAGTGTTGGACCAGGACTTGCAAGATTCAGATTCTAGACTCAGCCATGCAACCCACTGGATAACTTCAAACCAGTCACTGCCTCTCAGCCTAACCTATTTCACAGGATGATAGTTTGTAGGATAAATGGAGAGAACCTTGTAAGCTGCCCTGTCATCGTAATATTTCAGCAGAGCTCAACTCTCTCCTGCAACAGTTCTTGGGGCACCTTTTGTTTGGCACATCTATGAATTTCAATGGACCTTTCATATACTCGCTAGGGATAATCCCCCGAAAAGCACGAATTCCAGCTTTGGCACTGTGGAGCTCGTCCCTGTGCTGTTTGCAGTGGGCCCTTCTTCAGGGTTACTCCTTCGCTTACTAAATGGCAGACGAAGCACTGAAAAACCACCATGTGGGGCCTGGGCTTCGTGGGGCAGCCACGATGCACCCCGGCCTTGAACACCGAGGCTGTCCTTCATGGGGAAGGAGCAGCAGCCACAAACATGACATCACTCAACTAGGGTGGGGAGGAGGAGACCAAAAGTTTAAACCTCCGCGGGGGTTCAGTTTCAGCTGGAGGAAGTTCAGGCTTTGCCCAAGGAGACCTTAGCTCCAAGGGCGTGAGTGTCCCTGAGCATGTGCCAAGCGTTATTCAGCGTCCACGACAACCGATCTTGGACGCAGGTGTGCGGCAACGGCTCCGAGGTTGGGAAGCGCGGCGCGGAGGCCCGCGTGGGCGTGACTAAAGCTGAGAATAGGCCCGAGGCGAGCGACGCATCCACACGACGGCAAGACTCGGGACGCGCCGCCGGCTCAGCAGCTCCCGCAGCCACTGCAGAGCGTGACGCATGCCTCCCCCGTGCCTGATCGCCCTTGCGCCCCCCCCCCCCCCACCGGCGTCGATCGCCCGATTTCGGAGAAGGGGAGGGCGCGGCGCCGGCGCTCGCCCTGCCTTCGCCGCCTCGCTGCTGCCCCGCGCGCCGCGTGGCGCTCTCCCCTCGGCCGCCGCTCAGCGGTGCTGCAGCCGCCGCCGCCGCCGCCGCTTCGGTGATCGCCGCCGCCGCCGCTGCTGCAATGCATCAAGTTTCGCTGCGCCCTCCCCCTCCGCCTGGCGCACGCTTTGATTCATTCGCAGCCGCCCTCTCCGGCAGCAGCGGCGGGAGCAAGCCAAAGCCTTCCCCGGTCAGAGCGGGCTCTGCCGCAGCGGTGCGCGCCGCCGGGCTGGCCTAGCGGAGGGGGAAAGGGGGCAGACCGCCGCCTTGCAGCCCCCGTCGGGGAAGGAAGGGAGGAAGGGAGGAAGGAGGGCGCGAGCAAGCGAGCCCGCTTCAGCGAGAGGGAGGGTCATCCGGAGGGCATCTCGTCCCAACGCCGGCCCTGATCCCTCCCTTTTCTGCCGCAGACGCGCGCGCGCGCGCGCGCCACACACCCTTCGGAAAATCGATTCCTCCTCTCGGGGCTCGGCTCCGTCCTCTCGGCCGCAGAAAAGAGGCTGAAGATCGCTCCGCAGCCCGCTGCGCCGGGGGCTCGATACGCAGCGCGCGCCCCAGGCATGGATCCGGCCCTCCCGAGTCCGGGGCAGGCACCTGCCCGTGGGGGCGGATAGCTCCTCCTCGCGCGCGCGACGGAGGCGCGTTGCCAATCGGGGCTGCGCGGAGTGCCCGGGCTGGTGGATTTGGGGCGTGTGTCCGTGCGCTGAATTCCCCCTCTGCGGAGCGAGCCTGGAACGATGTGGATTCAGCAGCGGCTCGGGAGCTAGGAAGACTTCGGATGAAGCTGCGGCAAGCGGACCTACCACGGCTCCGTTGCTGCAGGGCAGGGCCGTGAGCGTCCAGTTCTCCGTCGGCGCACCCTGGGTCCACAGGGACGCGGCTCCCGTCAGCCGGAGAGCCCTCCCTGCGGGACGCGTGAGCTCCGCACCCCGCGGGCCAGCGAGGCTTGCCGCATCCGTGGCGGCGCCAGCAGGACCATCCTTCCCAAGCGAGAGTCGTCTCGCCCGGACTTGGTGAAGAGGAGGGGAAGGGATCCCGTTTTCCCCACTCTCCCTCTCTTTGGGCCCATCCCAACTTTTATGGATCCTCCAGCCGGCCGCCTTTTCTGCTTCTTGGCGGTCTCTCTGTCCCCGGCTTGGTCCCATCGCAGCGGCGGGCCGAAAGGGGCTGCCGGCGGGGCAAAGAGCGCCGGAGCGCCCCCTGCTGTTGCCGTCCGCTCCGGGGCCGGGCGAGATCCCGTGTCCGAAGAGGCACCAGCTGCTTCCGGAGGGGACATTCCAAGGCGCGCTTGGGTTTTCTTGGGCGGCCGCTAAGCCCGGGCTATAAATACCCTCGCGGGAAGATTCCTCGCAAGGATCGTCTGTCTGTTGACCGCAGGACGTTGCTCAGAAGGGCGGGGGAGCCCGGTAGAGCGCTTATCCTCCCCAGGCCGAGGAGGGGCGCACAGCCTGGATCCGAACCCCCCCGCCATGGCCGCCCCTCGCCCCATCGCGCTCCTGCTCGGCTTTGTCCTGGGTGAGTTCCACCAACGGGGATGTGTGTGGGGGGGGAAAGCTGGCCGGGCGCAGCGGGATCTCCAGGTGCAGAGCGCTCGGCCAGCGGAGGTGTACAGGCGGCCGTGGTGCTGGCCCGCGAGGGAGGCGGCGGCACCCCGCGATCCGGGGCCCACGCTGGGCTTGGCTCTGGCAGGGCCTGCGCACGCCCTCGAATCCGTGGCCCCAAAGACAACTCTTTCAGACTGCATGGTTTGGGGTCTTGGTGCAGTCCCGTAAGGCTGAGGTCACGCGTAGAGTTAAGGCATGTCCCCTGAGAAGGCAGACCCTCTTCTGCATCCTGTGATCAGACTCCTGGGGCTTCCTTATGCGCTTAGCAACTTGTGGATGTACAGAGCTAATAATAAATAGCCTGCAGTCTGCCTCACCGTTTTCTCTTGGAGGGGGGGTCCAAGCAGCCCATCCTGGGATGCTGGAAATCCAGCCACAGGTCTTCTCTTCCCCAGAGTTGGGGTATAGATCCTGGTCCAGGGCCAGGATCTTGTGTGCACACATGGTGCGTAAGTCTGGACAAATCCTAGGCCACCTTTCTCAGCTGAATATTGGTTGGCGAGTCCCTTTTTTAGGGTCCCAGAGGCCATGCTGGGACTCCTAAAATCAATCCCAGGGTCTTCTCTCTAAATCCAGGGACTCCTTCTCCAACCTCGGCTGTCGGATTGCAACTCCCATCCTGCAGTGCAACCCATCTGCAGGGCCCCAGGCTGGAGAAGGCCAGGGCAGGGATCCAGCTGTGGCTATCCTGGACCTCACCTTCCCCCAGCCTAGCAGGAATAATTTCAGAGTTGTTTGGAGCGAATTGTCAGCAGGTGAAGTGGCGTTTGGTGGTGGATGCAGCAGGCATTCAAGAACTGCATATGAAATGGAAATTTATGGGGGCTTGATAGCTGGAAAGTTCAAACACAGGCAGATATTTTCACACAGGGTGAGAGCAAGTCCCACTGAACTAATCTGAACTTGAATTTTGTGAATCATGAAGCCTTTACCTCACGTTGGACCTTCCAGGTGTGCTGGATGCCAACTCGCATCATCCCCAGCCAGTGTTGGCTGGGGATGATGGGGCCACGGAGGGACACTGCCAGATTTGGAGGAAGGCTGACTCAAGACAGTCAGGCCCAGGCATCATCTGCTCAGGAAAGCAACACATCCTAAAACACATGGAAATATTTGCTGTGGATAAAACGAATGCAAAGGAACCTGGCTCTGGCTAATCCTGCACAGCAGCGGTGTGGCGGAAAAGGAGAGGGTGAAAAACGTGCGGCGCAAATGCATCCCATCCTACCCGAGTCAGCAGTGTGTTCTTCCTTTCCCCCAGCAATATCCTTCTGGGGCTGCCTCTTTGCTCTGTGCCAGATACCTCCTCTGCTAATCCATGTTCTCCACACAGCCCCTCCCTCCCCAGGTATGTTTTCCTAGCTTAGACCTTCCAGTTCATTAAGCCCTTAATTGTTCAGCTTTGGTGCTGGGGAGAGGAGGAGAAGGAAGCCTGGAAACACCCCCTTGTCAGCAGGATGAGCTCTCTCAGGGTCCCCATGAGGGGACACACCTACTTCATACAATGCACAGGGGAAAATTCTGCCCTTAGGTGCTGAACTGTGCTGTGCTGAATACAGTAACAAGCACTCTGAGCCAGCCTGTGTGTGTGTTTGTATTGGTTTCCTCCTTCATCAGAGGTTTCTGAACTAACTGGACCCTCTGGAGTTGTTCTTGACTACATAATCTCTTCCAGCATCCCCATTCAGGAATATACTGAAAAATAAATGGGCAATTCTGGCCCAGCCATGTGAAGAAAACTGCAATATATATTAAGAACATTTCCAGTAATGTCTGCCCTGCTTTTGCACTTACAAAATAACCCAAGGAAGCATGTGCCAAGTATTTTAAAACAAATCGAAAATAAATATAATAAGGTTATTATACTAGCATGATAACCCCAACAGACGACATGACACAGCATAAAGCTTTAAAAAATCCACTTCACTAAAACAAAACAAAACAAAACAAAACAAAACAAAACAAAACAAAACACACACACAGCCCATGGCAGTAACATCATTTTTGCCATTCATTGGAAATCCAGTCCAAACCCTTAGCATCATAAGGCCTAGCAACCCTTATTTGTGGGAGACAATTTCAAACCCTTAGCGATATAATACTTATCTAAATATTTCATTTTTACCTTAGCTTTCCTCCACAGAACTTCAGGTGGCATGCATAATCCGTCCTCCACCTTCCTTTTATCCTCACAGCCATCCTGTGAGGGGTGTTAGGTCACTGAAGGGTTACCCACCCTCATGGCTGAGCATGGATTGGGACTTGGCTTGGCACCAGCTGAGTTCCTTGCAAACCCCTAGTCCCTTCCCCAGTGTTCCCAGCCTGCCTCTGGCATATATCAACACATTTATGGATTGCCTGGAAGGAAAGGAGGACTCTTCTCATTTTGTTTTTCAAATAGTTCCCTGAATGGTTGTCTGGATATGAATCTTGACTCACCACAGGTGAGTTGTCAGGTGGAAGACTGCTTCAGCCAAAGGACTCGAGCTCTTTGTGGATGGAAGAAAACTCACTTCCATATTTACATTCTGGAAAATACTGGAAGGATCTTGCCCCCGCTCCTCCCAGCAACTTTCTGTACACTGTGGCAGGATTCTGTAGCATCAGAAGAAGACTCTGACGCTGAACGGGTGCATGACGTAACAGCCCTGCTCCTCTGTCTATCTCTATGTATTATTGATCAAGCTCTTGTCAAAATCCCAAAATGTGTTTCATTAGAAGTTAGATGCCCAGCACTCAAGTATTTCAAAATACCTTGAGAAAAGCTGGGGGCAGGGAGGGCAGAATGCATGCTGAAGTTGCTCGCTAGCACTAAGCAAGTTCAAAAGGCGTCCCGATTAATTACATTTTTAAAATCATGAAATATGTAAACAAGTTTTACATTAACTAGCTTTAATTAACAGCCAAGTAGAGCGTTCCAGTGCAAAGGTGGGATAAAGCCATGTTTCGTCTCTGAGACATGCTTTGCTTTTCAAACCAAGAAAGAGAAAACAAAGCATGTTCAGAGCCTGGCTTGCAAAGTTTTCATGTCTGAAGTATCTGATGCAGCCAGGTGCAGGCTTGGGGCTAATGCTTAGGGCCCTGCAGCCCAGGAGTCTCCAAAATGACCACAAAGGTGAGGCTGGTCTCCGCCAGGCCCGGCTCCAACACTTGACTATGTCAAAGCCAATGGGGACGGATTCTGGTCTCGGCATACATTTATGGATATGTTTTAAGCAACTTTTTGTACTTGGGGCAGCTGGCTGGGCTTGTCCATGTTCATCGACCTCTCATTTTCTTAGCTTTTAAAACCTATTCTCCTTTTCTACATCAAACAGTGCCCCTTTGCCAAGTCATGTCTCAGGGCAGCACAACCGAATAGCATTTTAATCCTGTAGTCCTGGTGCTGTGAACTGAGTGAGCTTAAGAAGCCAAATGGCAATGCTCAGACAATTTTATTTTAAACTTGGGGCTAGCAAATGCTTTTTCCTCTCCACTCGACAATGTCAGTAATGTAGATGCATTTGTAAAGCATGGAATGAGATGGTGGCATGAGAGGTAAATGTTAATCGTATGCTCCGCAAGTGAAGTAATATATGTGGCCATTTAAAGCTCTCTCCAGGAAACATTAAGTGCAAGGACTAAAATTCAGCAGGGACTTCTTGTGCCCTTCTGTATAGTTTCTGTGCATAGATGGCATTGCTCAGAAATTGCAGAGATGGGATTGCTTGTGTGGAAGTGCCCCCTCATATCTTTGGGGAAAGCTTTGATATACTTGTTGACCTGTTAGTTTTCTACCTGCAGGAAAAAGATCTTAACATGAAGATGCTCTCAAAGGAGTAATCTCTTCCCATCTATGCCCCCCACTCGCACCCCATGCAGCAGTTGGCCTTGAATGCTCAGCAGCTAACAGATGCTGAAACATCTACCTGGAAGTCCATGTCGCTCACCTAATCTAAATCCTTTAAACTCCCCATGTCAGGGCATGGGGGATACTGTAGTTACTCAGGGATTATGGAGCCTACTTTGTATGTGCTGTGGGAGCAGGTATGGCTGTCCAGATGTTGGACTGCAACTCCATCGGCCAGTGGTGGGGAATGGGAGCAACATCTGGAGGGGCAGCTGTTCCCCATTCCTGATCTGGGCTTTCAGGCAGAGGCCTTTCAGAGCAAGTGCGACATGTTCCTTTTCTCTGGAGACAGAAGGGGTTCAACCTTGGAAGTTTCTGCATGCAAGCCTGAGAGGGAGAGCCTGTAGCTATTTATTTATTTATTTATTTATTTAGAGTTTTTCTGTGTCGTCCCATTGCTTATAACCTCAGCATGGCTCACATAAATAAATAAACATGGTACAAAAAATTGGCAATTTTTTACTAACATGGTAATTGGTGAAGCCCCTGCTGTGCTTTCAGAAGGTTGGAGGTTCGATCCCCAGCGTGTCCAGGGAGGGTTGGTCCTGCTCTCCGTTTTGTCTTCACAACAACCCTGTGAAGTAGATCAGACTGACAGCTGGTGACAAGCACTGAGTTACTGAGTGAACTTCATGGCTGAGCAGGGACAGAAACCTGAGTCCTGGTCCAGTCCTCTAACCACTACACTGGCTCCCAAATCATTGCAAGTTTTGATGGCACTCTGGATATTTCAGTGGCTGCAGTGGCAACAAAAGTATCTGTAAAGGTGAAGATTTACATGTTAGGGTCAGATTTTATTTGTTCTGTTTGCCTGTAAAATAGTTTTGTTTGCTAGGACTGAAAAAAAAGATCTGTGCAGTTGCTTTGAAACTGTAGCAGCTGCCTGTGCAGGCAATAGGTTGACTCGTTTTATGTTTGGTTATTACATGACATTTTACGTTATGCTGCTTATAACTGTCACGTGCAATAGAATCTTTTGAGAAATCAGCCTGAGCCAGGTTGCCTGACGGTCAGGAATCCTG